GACTCTTTAGGCTACTCGCCTTTTCAACTTGTGTTTGGACATTCTGTCCGGAGTCCCCTGAAGCTGATACACGAACGTTGGACAGGTACCAGTGATCATCCAGTGGAAAACTTTGATGATTTTCACGTTCGACTGAAAGCCGTGTGCGAAATGGCTCACAAGAACTTAAGAAAGGCCCAAGTTAGAATGAAAGGACTGTATGATAAGAGTTCTTGTAAACGAACATTCAATCCAGGCGACAAGGTTCTTGTGCTAGTACCTAATCTGAACAATGCGTTATCCTTGAGATATTGTGGACCCTTTACTGTGCATTCAAAATTAAGTGATTTGAACTATGTTGTCAATACGCCCGACAGAAGAAAGAAACAGACAGTGTATCATGTCAACTCACTGAAAAAGTATTATGATAATTGTAACAATTTTCAATCCACAGCTAAAATTAATTTACCTGTATGTTCAAATGTTTCTGATGATGTGATACATGATAAATTGAAACCCCCAAAATTGGTAAATTCTTCCTTTTTAGATAATTTGAATGTCCACCTTATGCATTTGTCCACAGAGGAAAGCCATAGGTTGTCTCAGTTGTTTGAGACATTTCCCTCTATTTTTGGGGATGTCCCCAAAGAAGCGAAGGTTCCACCTCATGATGTAGACGTTGGTGACGCAAAACCCATTAAGCAACACCCCTATAGAGTTAACCCGGAAAAAGCTGCTTTGATAAAAGATGAAATTGATTATATGCTCAAGAATGATATCATTGAGCCCAGTTTCAGCAGCTGGAGTTCCCCATGTCTCCTAGTCCCGAAAGACGGTGGATCTTTCAGGTTTGTGACCGACTTTAGGAAGGTGAATGCGCTCACCAAAGCTGATTCCTATCCCTTACCTCGGATAGAGGACGTTATTGATAAAGTTGGTCAAGCTAAGATAATTTCCAAAATTGATTTACTTTCAGGATACTGGCAAATCCCCTTATCTGACCGTGCAAAAGAAATATCTGCTTTTGTAACCCCTAATGGTTTTTATAGATACAAACGTATGCCTTTTGGTATGCGAAATGCTGGTCAAACTTTCCAGAGAGTCATTAACTCTGTCATTGCTGACATAGACCAATGTGAGGCCTACATAGATGATATAGTTGTATTTTCTAATACTTTTGAAGAACATATTGTTCAATTGACTAACCTTTTTAGAAAATTGTCTGAAGTTAATTTTACTGTAAACTTACATAAAAGTGATTTCTGTAAAGCTTCAATTACCTATTTGGGTTATCAAGTGGGAACGAACCAAGTTCGGCCCATTGAAGCTAAAGTAGATGCTATTGTAAAGTTGCCACCACCCAAAAATTGTAAAGAGATCAAAAAGTTCCTTGGGATGGCTGGTTACTATAGGCGGTTCTGTCAAAACTTTTCAGCTATTGCTGAACCTCTTACTGCATTATTGAAAAAGGGTGTTGAGTTTGAATGGTCAAATAAATGTCAAGAAGCTTTTTTAACCATTAAGTCATTTTTATCAAATGCTCCTGTTATGGCTGCACCAAATTTTAGCAAGCCCTTTAAACTTGCCATTGATGCTAGCAACTTAGCCATTGGCTCAGTCCTATTTCAAGAAGACAACATGGGAATTGACCATCCCATTGCCTTTTTTTCCAGGAAGTTAAATGAGAACCAAAAGAATTATTCTACTATTGAAAAAGAGGCTTTAGCTTTGGTTTTATCATTACAACATTTTGAAGTCTATGTCTCTTCTTCAACCAATCCAGTCAGAGTGTTTTCTGACCATGATCCCCTGAAATTTACCTCTAAGTTAGGACAGACAAATCAAAGAATATTGAGATGGTGCTTATATTTCCAAAATTTTAATCTGGAAATTTCACACATTAAGGGTAGTAATAATGTTGTGGCTGATTGTTTGTCAAGGATGTAAAATCTTGTTACACACATTGATCATGTGACACGCTTTGTGGTTCATTAGGACCATAAACAGGTTTTGTTTGAGTGTCACTCATATGAAAATGAGTGGTGTGAGTTAGAATGTTTCAAAATTCCAATCCTGTTGAATATTTTGTTTATTTTCAGGTGAACCTTAATTAAAGGTGGTTTTTGATTATATGTAATCTTTTATAATAATATGTCACATATGACTCAATTGATATTGTAGCTAGTCATTGAAATAAAGGTCTTACCCTGGCGGGTTTACCACTTTTAATATCCACATGGAAATATTGTAATACCCTTTTCTGAGGGATTTTGATGTATAATTACTTTTTGAAGGGTTACTCCCCTTTCACCAATTGTAAAAGTTGGAGTTACTTCCCTTTTATGTTCAGGGATATTTTCATCTGGTATTATGATTTTGATTGCCTACATTTGTAAAACATTTTTGTTATTTCATTGCCAGATTGGTTCCTTATGTATGTTCTTGTGGAACCTATCTGTCACTTCCAAAAAGGGAGGGGATGTGACCTACTTAGGTCGAGTCATTTTTATTTTGACATTGTATAATTCCTTATATGGAATGATGGTGTAACACCTGGGGTTTTTCCACTGACTTATTAAGGTGTTTGAGACATAGAAATTTTCCATTAAAATCTGATTGAATGATTCTGATCAGATGATTATCCCAACCAATGGCGACATGAGTTGAGGATAACCTCCCCTGTCACAGAAGTCTTTAATTGCACTGCACACTCGCAACACGAGGCAGTTTATCTTGACCTGGCAGTCTACGAGGCAGTTTTATCTTGATCAGGCAGCCGTCCATATTGTCCGGCTATAGAGTCTGACCATTTGAACGTGAGAGTACTTAAGACCTGTGTGTGCCTTGCTTTCTTAAGTTGATTTAATCTTCTAGTTTAATATTACTTGTCGCTAAGTAATTCCTGAAGATATAGCAGTGTTGTGTGGCCTGTAGCTGTTCTTTAGACAGTGTAGAAATCTGTGATAGTGTTTTTTCCTACATTGTGTAAGTTGGGTTTTGATATTTTATACATTAAATATTTTATTTAGTTCAACTTTGTGTTCTGCCACTTCTGAGTTCGCTGATTAAAAGGTCGTATGTAGATTGGATGAGTGTTAATTACAATAGTATCACTAGCTTCCCTAGACATTAAATTCGAGCCCTAGTGGTCGTTGTGTTAAGTGTTCATCCACTTAGGCCGTAAGGCATTTGCATATGACCCCGAAAAAAGAATCCGGGGACGTTCTCCTTCTATTTGGCTGATAGATAGGTTAACGTTACAGGCTTGTGATGTTGACACCCCATGAACATCTCACCTGTTGGGCTTATGATGTTGACATCCCATGAACATGTCACCTGTTGGGCTTGTGATGTTGACACCCCATGAACATCTCACCTGTTGGGCTTATGATGTTGACATCCCATGAACATGTCACCTGTTGGGCTTGTGATGTTGACACCCCATGAACATCTCACCTGTTGAGCTTGTGATGTTGACACCCCATGAACATCACACCTGTTGGGCTTGTGATGTTGAAATCTCACCTGTTGGGCTTGTGATGTTGACATCCCATGAACATCTCACCTGTTGTGCTTGTGATGTTGATATCTCACCTGTTGGGCTTGTGATGTTGACACCCCATGAACATCTCACCTGTTGGGCTTGTGATGTTGACATCCCATGAACATCTCACCTGTTGGGCTTGTGATGTTGACATCCCATGAACATCTCACCTGTTGGGCTTGTGATGTTGACATCCCATGAACATCTCACTTGTTGGGCTTGTGATGTTGACATCCCATGAACATCTCACCTGTTGGGCTTGTGATGTTGACACCCCATGAACATCTCACCTGTTGGGCTTATGATGTTGACATCCCATGAACATGTCACCTGTTGGGCTTGTGATGTTGACACCCCATGAACATCTCACCTGTTGGGCTTATGATGTTGACATCCCATGAACATGTCACCTGTTGGGCTTGTGATGTTGACACCCCATGAACATCTCACCTGTTGAGCTTGTGATGTTGACACCCCATGAACATCTCACCTGTTGGGCTTGTGCTGTTGACATCCCATGAACATGTCACCTGTTGGGCTTGTGATGTTGACACCCCATGAACATCTCACCTGTTGGGCTTATGATGTTGACATCCCATGAACATGTCACCTGTTGGGCTTGTGATGTTGACACCCCATGAACATCTCACCTGTTGAGCTTGTGATGTTGACATCCCATGAAATCTCACCTGTTGTGCTTGTGATGTTGACATCCCATGAACATCTCACCTGTTGGGCTTGTGATGTTGATACCTCACCTGTCGGGCTTGTGATGTTGATACCTCACCTGTTGGGCTTGTGATGTTGACATCCCATGAACATCTCACCTGTTGGGCTTGTGATGTTGACATCCCATGAACATCTCACCTGTTGGGCTTGTGATGTTGACACCCCATGAACATCTCACCTGTTGTGCTTGTGATGTTGACATCCCATGAACATCTCACCTGTTGGGCTTGTGATGTTGACACCCCATGAACATCTCACCTGTTGAGCTTGTGATGTTGACATCCCATGAACATCTCACCTGTTGGGCTTGTGATGTTGATACCTCACCTGTTGGGCTTGTGATGTTGATACCTCACCTGTTGGGCTTGTGATGTTGATACCTCACCTGTTGGGCTTGTGATGTTGACATCCCATGAACATCTCACCTGTTGGGCTTGTGATGTTGATACCTCACCTGTTGGGCTTGTGATGTTGATACCTCACCTGTTGGGCTTGTGATGTTGACATCCCATGAACATCTCACCTGTTGGGCTTGTTATGTTGATACCTCACCTGTTGGGCTTGTGATGTTGATACCTCACCTGTTGGGCTTGTGATGTTGACATCCCATGAACATCTCACCTGTTGAGCTTGTGATGTTGATACCTCACCTGTTGAGCTTGTGATGTTGACACCCCATGAACATCTCACCTGTTGGGCTTGTGATGTTGATACCTCACCTGTTGGGCTTGTGATGTTGATATCTCACCTGTTGGGCTTGTGATGTTGAGACCTTCTTCTGACTGACCAGGTCAGTCTTGTTGCCACACAGGACAACAGGTGTTGGCTCATACTTGCCGTGTCTGTCACATGGGTCCTGTGGTCAAATACCAGGTGGAAACTACACACTAGGACATAACACATCACACACTCTACGTCAATGTATTACATCACATATCACACAACGTATTACATAATACATCACAGAACGTATGACGTCATACATCACACAATGTATGACGTCATACATCACGCAATGTATTACATCATACAATGTATGACGTCAAACATCACACAATGTATTACATCATACATCACACAATGTATTACATAAACTAAATCACATAACATACAGTATAGGCCCTACCACGCTATGTATCACATTCACTACATCATACAATATATTACATCACACACCACCTGAGACAATTACTATTGCTACACTCAATCAATTATATAACAATATAGGACGACTTGCCATACACCATCGTTATAGGATAAATAAACATCATCCTACACCCCTTACAACACACCATCACACAAAGGCTGCTCACCAGGTGAACGGAAAAAAGTCACAGGAAAAAAAGAAGTCACAGCTTTTTGCTAGGAAAAAAGTCAGGAAAAAAAAAATTCGGAAAAGTCACAGCAATAGAGTCACAGAAAAAAGACACAAAAATCTTTTTATAAATAGTTTGATTTTAATTGTCGAGAAGTGAAAATTTTGGGTGTTTACTGATTTGGGCTTTTTTTTTTTTTTTTTTTTTTTTGTAGCATATTTATAAACGTTAAAAGCATTTATAATACTAATTAGTTAAAATAATGTAACTTAATTTACACAGCAACCACAACTTTTGTAACGAATTTAGTTAAATACGCTCCGGAAATGTTAATTATAAACGAAATTTAGGCACATCATTGTGTTTTGCATCTTTTCTTTTGCCGTTCATTGGTCGGCTTCCTTTTTTTTTCCTGTGACTTTTTTCCCTACAATCACTCACCAAACTACACACAAAACCTTACACACACCATTGTACACACGCCATTGTACACACACGACCTTAACACACCATTGTACTCAAACTCACCAAACTACTCATCCAGTACGCCAATGCTTCAAACGACAGCAAGCTAGTGACGTCATACACCAAGAAGAAACCCTTAAGTCACGTGGGAAAAAATATTGATCACAGTTATGTGAAGAAAATATTACAATTTAAAAAACAACGCATTAGTCTAAAGCAATTGAACAAGTAAGTCAACTATTTTAGTCACCGCTTTAAGTAGACACTTAGATCTAGATAGCATGACCTAGATTCTAGACAACAATTTATTAAAGAAGGGACAAAACAAAAACATGAATGACAAAACCAAGCAAACAAAAGTATGACAGCCATCAGGCCCCGTTAGAAACTTACGTGTACATCCTTGTACTGGGATTTTGTGATGGACCGAAACTTCTCCAAACCGGAAGTGTCCCTGTTATTGAAAGAAAAATTCTTGTAGCAATACTTGGAGATATTTTTAAAATGTAAATTGTTGGGCATTGTATTACTGGCATGTTTAGCAGTACGTGATTGGTGACAGCTGATCTTGTGAAACTGGTTAAATCTTGTAGTCTAATGGGTTACCTACATTTAAAAATCACGTGACAAAACAACTCACAACATTACTTGCACGCGTCTACGCCCACATTTGAGATCGTATGGTCCCCCCCCCCCCCCCTACATATACACACACTCACACAATTCTAAAAATACTTTTAACAGTTGTTAGGAAACCAACTTCGACCAAGCAATTTTCTTACAAATAAAACTAAGAAAATAAATGATGCACCGAAGCTAATGGATATAGATTTAGGCCTACTAATAGATTGTGTACCTAGTTAAGTATTATATCTACCAGTGGCGGAACTGGAAAAAAAGGGCCACCCCGCAAAAAAAATTTTAGGCCCCCCCCCCATATATATATATATATATATATATATATATATATATATATATATATATATATATATATATATATATATATATATATATATATAATCACAAAATACGAACATAGGATACTCATTGCTGGCCTGTTATGGGTTTGAAAAACATTAATTTCAAATAAATTTCAACATTATGTCGTGTGTATACGGGCATTAATTTTTTTTTTTTTTTGTTTTCTTTAGTCTGTTTTGTGAAAATCGGTTTTAATTAATTTTTTATAGAAGCCCTCATAACATTTTGTCGGTCAAAAGAATATAAAACATGACAGCTTTGTATAAGTAATGGTGTCTCGTGTTAAGTTTATTTTAAGGTATTTTTTGTATTTTTATTATAAATTTTTTAAATATTATTGATTTAATACATTATCTTTTTATAAAATGTTATTATTTAAAAATTACTTATAAAAAATAATAATTAAGAGAAGTAATTGCTTTTTCAATTTGTTTAATACGAATCTATTAAAAGCAGCTTATGATTACCCCTATTTGACTATTTTAAAAATAAGGGAAATAAGTCAGGGAAGTGGTTTGAACATTTGCTTATCTTTGATAAGTTTAATTGTAGGAGAAAGACTCGGCTTTCACAGTGGTTTAAAAACAAAGGGAAAAAAAATATACAAGAGCGTGGGGTGGTGTCTATATAATAAAGATAATCCAACCGCAGCTACGGTAATTTTTTACAAAACAACCATCAAGTCAAAAATGAAAGAAAATTTACTTTTTTTTAACTATAAAATTTTTTATTATGGTCGGCTCTGGGCCCCTAAATGGCGTGGGCCCCCCCCCCCCCCCCCCCGCATTGCGGGGTCTGGCGGCACTGTAGTTCCGCCCCTGATATCTACCCTAACCCAGGGTCTAGCAATATTTCTGACCCTAACCCTCAGTCATGAGGTCCCAGCAGTGCCGGCGCCAGGTTATTTAGCGCCCTCGGCAAAACTTATTAAAACGCCCCCTATCAGTGCCGGCGGCAGGTTATTTAGCGCCCTAGGCAAAACTTATTAAAACGCCCCCTTTCACACAAATTAATTACTAAAACATATGTATAAAAAAACAATTAATTAAAAGTGACATATTAATTTATTATCAATTGCATAAACGTTAAATGTAGATATTAAAATCAAATTTTACAAGCCTTCTTCGTTGCAAAAGTTTGTACTAATTCCTCCAATTCCAGTTTGCAAGCGTAATCACGTTTTATTGAAATTGTTGCTAAGTCCACGTCTACTTTGTATTTTACGACATAACCGCCCCCCCCCCTAGAAAATTTTAAGTGCTCCCCCCCCCCCCACATACACACAACAGGGGGGGGGGGAGGTCTGGAAAAAATCACTAAAAAAAGTTATTGTAGTGTTCGACTCTCTGCAGTCCCCCAAGGTGATTTCCAAAACGGAACTTACCTGTTTTAAGCTTGATTGTTTTTAGTTATAATTGTAAAATGTCTATATTGTGTGATTATGTAACGATTTTTTTGGTTTTTGAAAAATAAAAGGTTATAAATGTTATAGATTCCAGCCTAAAATTGTTATTTATCAATCCTTTAGGAGAGGGTGAAAAATATGAAAAGACAATTAATTAGATGTTTAATTTACGCCTAAGACTGTATGTCTACTAACTTTAAGTATTGCAATCTACAACGGCTACTGATGTATTTGTTTTTCAACTTGATAATGCTAAAAAAAACCTACCAAACTATTTTGTTTAGAACTTAAGCTCTATATAATTTTTAAAGGAATAAATAATAACTTAAAGTTGTATTTATATGTAAGAGCTCAACCTAAGGTGCAAGAATTTGAAATGAATGTAAAGTTAAACAACGAATTATCTCCCATTTCAAAATACAAATAACAAAATTTTACCCAAGGGAAATAACTTTCACAAGAATTGCTAAATTAATCAAGTGTAACTAAGACATGTTTGAAAACACAGTAAAACGCTCTAAATTTCATTACTTAATAATTGTAATAAATCTTTTATATTAGCTATGTAACCTTGTAAAAACAATATATTTTACCTATTGAATACTTAACTGTGTGCTTTGTTTAAAATTTCAAAAACGGTAGCTTTATTATAACATACTTCTAACCAATTTTGATGACATTCGTTGAAATGTATGTAGACCACATTAATATATTATATCAAATTTTGGATCCCCTAAATAAAGGGACGTCTTTCAAAAAATCAAACACGGGTAATTGTTTTAGACATTGCTAGAATTCTTAATTAAATATAAAGACAATTATAATTTGAAAAAAAAACTAAATTTACGGTTAGTTATAAATTCCATCCTATTTAATATATATGTATTAATACTGTAAGAGTGGTAATATAGTTTTATTCCTAAAAAACTAAAGATTTTTCAACTAAAGAACGCCGACCTTTCTTTGTAGTGTGTTCCGTACTGAATTGAAATCAGCTAACTTACGATAAACTCGACTACTCGATATACTCTATTACATTCACAACACATATCAAACTTCGATACCTAAACATAACTAGACTCGATGCTCCAGAACTACGACACCAACTCGTTTAACTTCACCAAGCTCTACAAACGGTACTCTAAATCAACAACCATTTCACGGGACCTACTACTAATCTTTAACAGTCAAATAATTCGATACCTTAATACCACAAGAATCAAACTCCCGAAGTCCAGAACTACGATACTTCATCACCTACATTCTCATTTCTCTACTACCAATCAGATTCCACTAGACCTTCAACTACACAACAGCCAAATAAAAAATACGACACTAACACTTCGATACTTTTTACTTACGAAATCAGCAACAGCCTTCCGCCGTTACTCCCAAATCTTAACGATTCACCAAAACTTACCCAACAAGTTCAATACTTTGAACACCCCATTACAAAACTTTATACACCAGGACAGATTTCTAATTCAAAGTCAGAGAAAACGAGACTTACAAGCCCTATTAAAATGTTAGTAATTTAAATTACGAACTTATTTAATCGTTTTCTACATCAATTATGTGACACCAAATTAAAAAGGCAAAGTGACTGGTAAAAAGCGCCCCGACCTTTTAGGGAGGTGCGGTTGCAATATCACCATCGCAATATAGGCCTTTATAGACCTAATTTTGGGGTTGAGGTGCAAAATTGATAGTTCGTCCTGGGTGCCGAAATAGATCGCTACTCTTTAATAAAAGTTATTAATTATCAGGTACTTTTCGATAATAGCGATTAAAACTTCTGCGCCGACCATAGGGAATGCGTTTTAGGCGACCTAACCCACAGTAAAAAGGTCCCAGCCTCCGTACACATACCCCGACCCTAACCCCCAGTCATAAGGTCCCAGCCTCCGTACACATACCCCGACCCTAACCTTCTAAGGTCCCAGCCTCCGTACACATACCCCGACCCTAACCCTCTAAGGTCCCAGCCTCCGTACACATACCCCGACCCTAACCCTCTAAGGTCCCAGCCTCCGTACACATACCCCGACCCTAACCCTCTAAGGTCCCAGCCTCCGTACACATACCCCGACCCTAACCCTCTAAGGTCCCAGCCTCCGTACACATACCCCGACCCTAACCCTCTAAGGTCCCAGCCTCCGTACACATACCCCGACCCTAACCCTCTAAGGTCCCAGCCTCCGTACACATACCCCGACCCTAACCCTCAGTCATAAGGTCCCAGCCTCCGTACACATACCCCGACCCTAACCCTCTAAGGTCCCAGCCTCCGTACACATACCCCGACCCTAACCCCCAGTCATAAGGTCCCAGCCTCCGTATACATACCCCGACCCTAACCCTCAGTCAAAAGGTCCCAGCCTCCGTACACATACCCCGACCCTAACACCACAACAATACTAGCAGGAACATTTGTTGTAACGTAGGCGACGGTTGAACTTTGACCTTTTAAAACAAACACAAAGTTAATTTTATCCTTAAGATAAACTTCCGTGAAGCAGTGAGCTATTTCTGCTGACTCACGCTATCCGATCTTGTAAGTCTGCTATTAGAGGTTCTACCTCTGCTATTAGAGATTCTACGTCTGCTATTGGAGGTTCTACATCTGCTATTATTGGTTCTACGTCTACTATTGGAGGTTCTACGTCTGCTATTAGAGATTCTACGTCTGCTATTAGAGATTCTACGTCTGCTATTAGAGGTTCTACGTCTGCTATTAGAGGTTCTACGTCTGCTATTGGAGGTTCTACGTCTGCTATTAGAGGTTCTACGTCTGCTATTAGAGGTTCTACGTCTGCTATTGGAGGTTCTACGTCTGTTATTAGAGGTTCTACGTCTGCTAATAGAAGTGCTACGTCTGCTAATAGAAGTGCTACGTCTGCTATTAGAGGTTCTACACCTGCTATTAGAATTTCTACGTCTGTTATTAGAAGTGCTACGTCTGCTAATAGAAGTGCTACGTCTGCTAATAGAAGTGCTACGTCTGCAAGCTGTATTTCTAAACCTGGTCAATGTTTATTTGCTATGTGACACCTATATCTGTTCTAAATTCCTATCAACTGTGAACTCTTTTAGCAGGCTACATCAACTACTCACATACACACCTACATCAACTACTCACATACACACCTACATCAACTACTCACATACACACCTACATCAACTACTCACACACACCTACATCAACTACTCACACACATACATCAACTACTCACACACACACACCTATATAAACAATTCACACACATACATCAACTACTCACACACACGCACCTACATCAACTACTCACACACACACACACCTACATCAACTACTCACACACACACACACACCTACATCAACTACTCACACACACACCTACATCAACTACTCACACACACACATACATACATCAACTACCCTCTCTCTCACACACACACCTACATCAACTACTCACACACACACACACATACATCAACTACTCTCTCTCTCTCTCACACACACACACCTACATCAACTACTCACACACATACATCAACTACTCACACACACAAGCACGAGTAAAAAAAGAAGACAAGAGTACTCACCAAATTTGTAACTGCACTAGAGCCCCGTCAACTTCAAAAATTTTCCTCACAAAGTCTACACCTGTTCGGGAAGAAATGGATTTTTTAAGTCAATGTTTGAACTTTACGTGCTCGATCTAGTTATCGATATTGTTATTGTTTTAATCATTCTTTCTTTCAATAACTCTTTGTATTCAATAATTACTTTTTTAATTTCAATAATACTTTTTTTTTAATTTCAATAATTACTTTTTTAATTTCAATAATTCTTTGTTTTCAATAATTCTTTGTTTTCAATATTTCTTTGTTTTCAATAATTCTTTGTTTTCAATATTTCTTTGTTTTCAATAATTCTTTGTTTTCAATTATTCTTTGTTTTCAATTATTCTTTGTTTTCAAATACCTCTTGAAAGTAAACGTTTGTTTTATATACGTACCCCCCCCCCCACACACACACAGCCAACATTATTCTACCAATGTGTTATAAATCGATCTACCTACCAACGGTCGGTCGGTTTGTTTCAGAGAACTCACGTCCTGTTAGTGACGTCAGTAGTGACGTCTTGCCGACGTCATGGTCGCCGATGACGAGTATCTTGTAGGTGACTGCACAGTCAGCCTCGTTCAGAGGCATGGTGCACCTAGTGGTGAGACAAGTGGTGACCAAAGTGGTGACCCAAGTGGTGACCCAAGTGGTGACTCAAGTGGTGCACCTAGTGGTGACCCAAGTGGTGACCCAAGTGGTGACAAAAGTGGTGACACAAGGGGTGACTCTAGTGGTGACACAAGTGGTGAGCCAAGTGGCGCACCTAGTGGTGACCCAAGTGGCGCACCTAGTGGTGATCCAAGTGGTGGCCCAAGTGGTGACTCTAGTGGTGACCCAAGTGGTGACTCAAGTGGTGATACACGTGGAATTAAGCTTCGTTGTGTCGTGTTAAAACCTGCTCACCATTTTACAAAACTTGAAGTAAACATCTCACATTTAACAAAACCAGTTTCATCAAGAAAATTTGTACCATCTATCTGATGGTTGATGCTGAAATATTATTAGATCTATCTAGAAAGATAGAAATCTTGAACACAAAACACCTGGAATAAGCTGAAAGACATTCCTTGACATACAGATGGTTCAACCGCAAAGAAACGAAGACAAACTTGGCTTAATGTAAATGTGAAACACAGCTTGTAAACGTCAAATTTTCTCAGAAAAGCCTCCCACTTGTAAACACATCCGCTGATTTCCCAACTACCATCCCAACCTGGCTCACAGAAATCGTCTGCTGGGTTAGCCCTATCGTCTGCTGGGTTAGCCCTATCGTCTGCTGGGTTAGCCCTATCGTCTGCTGGGTTAGCCCTATCGTCTGCTGGGTTAGTCCTAACGTCTGCTGGGTTAGTCCTAACGTCTGCTTCACGCTTGGCTGAACGAGGTCTTAGATGCTTGGTCACAGTTGGTTACATCGCCAGCAGGTCCTTAGGTCAATTACATGACCTGACCAGTAATGTTAGGTCATGAAGTTTATCAAGCCATTGGGGGGTGGGTGGGTCTGGTCTTGTGCAACCCTAGTTCTCGTGGGTTGGTAGACTTTGATCACGTGGGCAGAGGCGTAGCGAGGGGGGTGGGCGGGGGGACATATGTCCCCGGGCGCCGACCTTAGGGGGGCGCAAAAATGGGTTGGAAAAACAAAGTGAAAGTTTGAGTGGGGGGGGGGGGGTGTGGAAATCAAAAGTTCGAGGGGGGGGGGGGGGTGAAAATCGAAAGTTTGAAGGGGGACGCCGGGAAGGGTCGCTACGCCTCTGCACGTGGGTTGGCAGACTTTGATCACGTGGGTTGGCAGACTTTGATCACGTGGGTTGGCAGACTTTGATCACGTGGGTTGGCAGACTTTGTTCACGTGGGTTGGCAGACTTTGTTCACGTGGGTTGGCAGACTTTGTTCACGTGGGTTGGCAGACTTTGATCACGTGGGTTGGCAGACTTTGATCACGTGGGTTGGCAGACTTTGTTCACGTGGGTTGGCAGACTTTGTTCACGTGGGTTGGCAGACTTTGTTCACGTGGGTTGGCAGACTTTGATCACGTGGGTTGGCAGACTTTGATCACGTTGGTTGGCAGACTTTGTTCACGTGGGTTGGCAGACTTTGTTCACGTGGGTTGGCAGACTTTGATCACGTGGGTTGGCAGACTTTGTTCACGTGGGTTGGCAGACTTTGATCACGTGGGTTGGCAGACTTTGTTCACGTGGGTTGGCAGACTTTGTTCACGTGGGTTGGCAGACTTTGATCACGTGGGTTGGTATTTTGTTCACGGGGATTGGCAGAGATAACTACTGAAGCTGTGAGAGAAATGTGATATAATTACACTTATGAGAAATGTGATGTATTCACCGCAGCTGTTTCAAACATGTGATATTTATCACAGAGAGAGAAATTATACATATGTAAAATGCTACATTAATCAGATCCACAAAGTAGCACGACACTCTGGATATTCACGGTTCAAATAAAAATGTATCACACGTAAAAGTAAACCCATAAATAATCGCTTAAAACAACTCACGGCATAGAGTGACCCAGTGAGTGACCCAATGAGTGACCCAGTGAGTGACACAGTGCGTGACCCAATGAGTGACCCAGTGAGTGACCCAATGAGTGACCCAATGAGTGAGTGACCCAGTGAGTGACCCAGTGAGTGACCCAATGAGTGACCCAATGAGTGACCCAATGAGTGACCCAGTGAGTGACCCAGTGAGTGACCCAATGAGTGACCCAGTGAGTGACCCAATGAGTGACCCAATGAGTGACCCAATGAGTGACCCAATGAGTGACCCAATGAGTGACCCAATGAGTGACCCAATGAGTGACCCAATGAGTGACCCAATGAGTGACCCAATGAGTGACCCAATGAGTGACCCAATGAGTGACCCATTGAGTGACCCAGTGAGTGACTCAATGAGTGACCCAATGAGTGACCCAATGAGTGACCTAGTGAGTGACCCAATGAGTGACCCAATGAGTGACCCATTGAGTGAGTGACCCAATGAGTGACCCAATGAGTGACCGAACAAATTTCAACTCACCTCGACCTCCCCACACAAAGAAAGAAATGTTCTAAGCTCACCTACACCCATGAAGCAGCCAATCTTTCTGGCTCCCTTCCAGGCTGGCGTCTGGTCCTAACTGTTCTATTTATATCTGCATGAAACTACGCCACATCTACCCCCCCCCCCCACACACACAGCATCGTTACCTCCCTTGTCTTAATTACAGACCGTGACAGATATGTTAATGAGGTGGTCAGCACTGATTGATAGGTCACGGCAGGTTTAATTAACCCCGCAGTGGCTGGTGTGTGACGAGGTCAATGTGTAGACGGACAGGGGCGGGGGTGGGGGAGGGGTGGGATTGGATGGGTGGGTGGGTGGGTAGGCTAGGGTGGGGGTGGGAGTGGGGGATGAGTTATGGTGTGGGGATGTGTGTATGGTGTGGGGGAAGGATGGGTGTATGGTGTGTGGGGATCGGTGTATGTTGTTGGTGGGGTGGGTGTATGGTATGTGTGGGTGTATGGTATGTGTGTGTGGGGGGTGGAGTACTTTATCTAACCTGAATGGTCTACCACCTCTAACCCCAGTAGTAAACACCTATCAATATTTAGCTCATGACGAGTGTGGTGGCACATTTATCACCTATACAAACTGATATATGTATCAGATCTGTGTTGCTGTGAAGTGATACATGACAAAACCCCTCACTTTAAAGTATAAGCGCCCTGGTTTTCTGTGTGGTAAGGTGAAGCAGAGTTCATCTGCTGCAGTGTCAATGGTGGGAAAAGGTGATCTTGTTTGTATAAACCTCAGCCGCATTGTGTGACGTCACCGCCAAGACTGTCAGACACGGAGAGTAATGTCCCCTAACCACACGTGACCGTGCATAAAACAAGAGGGGGTGGACATTTGTTGCTATGGTTACGGCATTCCAGTTGATTTGATTATGTGTCCGATAAGTATGACAAGACAGCACCATCACCAACTAGGGACACACAACAGCAACAACTATATCCTACTGAGACGATAGGCTAGCTATTATTGACCAGTGATGAAAAAAACATTTCTTACACCATCTCAACTCGGTTATGTAACCTTTGACCTTACCCAATACCCTAATTGTGTGTCTACTTTTTCCTATTATAAAATTGTCTTACTAGGTTACCTGCAGTCGTCCCACTAAATGGCAAGCCATATATACAGTCAGAGGTTGGCTACCAACATTTTCTAATGGTAAAAAGTTCCATCAATAATGATGTCAGGTGGTTGAATATCGCCCCCGACATACACATCTACACACACACACATCCACACACACACACATCCACACACTTCTCATTTCCTCTAACACACACACAAATCCACGCACACTTCCACACACACATCCACACACACATCCACACACACACATCCACACACACACATCCACATACACACATCCACACACACTTCCACACACACATCCACACACACATCCACACACACACATCCACACACACATCCACACATCCACACACACATCCACACACACACATCCACACACACACACATCCACACACACACACATCCACACACACATCCACACACACATCCACACACACATCCACACACACACACATCCACACACACATCCACACACACACATCCACACACACACACATCCACACACACATCCACACACACACATCCACACACACACACATCCGCACACACACACACATCCACACACACATCCACACACACATCCACATACACACATCCACACACACACATCCACACACACATCAACACACTTCTCACTTCCTCTGACACACACAAATGTTGAACTTCCTGTCACGTCAGGGTTCACGGTACAAAAACCTGGCCAGTCAAGTGTCACGTGATGACGTCACGGTACCAACCATCGCCTCACTAACAACAGGATGACGTCACGTAGAGCGCTGGGGTCTGGTTTACAGTGGTTCTCAATTGTGACCCTCCTCACTCCCCCTCCCTCACCCCCCTGACCCACACACACCACTGTAGATCGGCTCACGCGTGCACACACACACACACATAACTAACACCTGTATCACACAGTCGAACCACGTGCAAATCAGTGCACGAGCATGAAATTTACTCAGTGAGGCCAATATTTGTGGCGTGTTGACAATTGTGAGAAACTCGACAACAATGAGAAAATCAAAACTTACGTTACATTTTATTTTACCCACAAACCATCTGGCGAAACACTTGAAGTGTGAATTGCCTGATGAATCAGGGGATAGATGAGCAAGGAAGTATTGACTAGCACTTATAGACCTTCAGAAGAAATGGGGCAGGGGGGGGGAAATGATGCTGCTCTCAGTGGTGTGCACGGGGTAGGGTGGTGTAAGGAAAAATTATTATTATAAAACATAACCGCAATAATATTAATGCTAGATTTTGTTAACGTGAGATCAGTATGCATGTAATTTGTTTTACTATAAATACGATAATTGATTCAGGTGGATTTTTTTGTTGAAATAGTTAAAGGAAGGGAATTTGATATAGTTTGGATAATATTGACACACACACACACACAAACGTCCAAGGGAAGTAATAATGAAAACTTATCTAAAATTAAATTTAACCGGTTATGTTTCCTTTTTGCTAAGTTTGTATCGTTGAATGTTAGACTGCGTATATTTATTTCTTTCTTCTAATCATACTGTGCCATTTTTGGTTCCCAGAAAGAACCGCAACGGAAAAAAGCGCAACGGAAAAAAGCGCAAATCAAAAAGCGCAACGGAAATAAGCGCACACGGAAAAAAGCGCAAAGAGAAAAAAGCGCACACAGAAAAAAGCGCAAAGAGAAAAAAGCGCAAACGGAAAAAAGCGCAAAGAGAAAAAAGCGCACACAGAAAAAAGCGCAAACAGAAAAAAGCGCAAACGGAAAAAAGCGCAAAGAGAAAAAAGCGCACACGGAAAAAAGCGCAAAGAGAAAAAAGCGCAAACAGAAAAAAGCGCAAAGAGAAAAAAGCGCACACAGAAAAAAGCGCAAACAGAAAAAAGCGCAAACGGAAAAAAGCGCAAAGAGAAAAAAGCGCAAACGGAAAAAAGCGCAAACAGAAAAAAGCGCACACGGAAAAAAGCGCAAACGGAAAAAAGCGCAAACGGAAAAAAGCGCAAACAGAAAAAAGCGCAAACGGAAAAAAGCGCAAACAGAAAAAAGCGCACACAGAAAAAAGCGCAAACAGAAAAAAGCGCAAACGGAAAAAAGCGCAAACGGAAAAAAGCGCACACAGAAAAAAGCGCAAACGGAAAAAAGCGCAAACAGAAACAGAAAAATGCGCAACCAGAAAAAACACAACGAAAAATGTGCAAAAGAGAAATTTAGCACAAAGACCATATGGACTAGATGACACATTTATACATGACTGTTAGGGCTGCTGTGAGAGTGTCGTGTTTGATCACGTGATCTACTACCATTTAAAGCGTACCACTACCATCTGCATTCCCATCACCACGATACAGGCGATAATCACTTTACACAATGCCTATTATTTTCTTGGTCAATAATTATTCAACTACTATTCTCGTATAAACATAAAACTATCGACATTACACGAAGTATCTTTCACATTCTCCCTAGTCCGAACTACCTAGCTTGCATACTATAACAACCCGTTCCTATGGCAAAACTTCACTCTCTTTCATCCGCGTCATCAAACATGCATTCGTCATATCTCTCGTAACAACATTCATTCGCACCAAAATAACAATTTTGTATTTAATATTTTTTCACATCATGACGCACCTACCTACCTACCTACTACCCAACTACCCACCCACCTACCTACCTACCTAACTACCCACCTACCCACTTACCCACTTACCCACCTACCCACCTACCCGCCTACATACTTACCAAACTGCCCACCAAAAAAGTATCGGCGAAGTTCGTAAGTTTCGTAAACTGTACTAGACATCATTTTTTTAAATGAAAATTCATTGACATCATTGACATATGTTACATATATGTTACATTTTGCGACAACCTTAATTAGTGCGTTGGGCTTGTATGAAAACTCACTTCGAACTAACTCAATTAAATGCTATTTATTTTATCATTACGCGGTAAGCGTCACCCAACTGTTGTGATGTAAGGTGAGGACAGGTTCGACAATAAACCAACACGAAAGTACGAAAGAGACATAGATTGCCTATTAGAGAATTGACCCCTTAACTTTCCTAACCCCACCATTTATTATACCCTACCTAACCTCTAAATTTACTGCGCTAAATGTCACTTCCCTCCCAATCGTTCCTATTCTACAGAATTGTGTATACTATTTATTTACATTCTTTAATCTCAATATAACTAAAATAGACTTTTGTTTGAAGGGTAATGAAAACATGTAAACAAAAGGGACGCTACTCTAAATCTATGCGAATACTTATATGCAGTGGCGTAGGCGGGGGGGGGGGGGGTTTATGGGGGGTCATAACCCCCCCCCCCCCCCCAATAGACCCCTCGGTATATATATATATATATATATATATATATATATATATATATATATATATATATATATATATATATATATATATATATATATATATATATATATATATATATATATATATATATATATATATATATATGCAAATCGAAAGTTTGAGGGGGGGGAGGTACAATCGACAGTTTGAGGGGGGGGGGGGGAAGTCTGGAAGAAACACTGCATGTAGCCTATATAACAGAAGAGCTATGGTTGTTTATATCATTTTGCATTCGTCCGGTAAACATTTCAGTAAAATACCTTAAAAACCTTCCGTAACCTTTTTATAAAGAAACAAAGAGAGATGAAGTTTATAAATGTTAAAATAAATAGCATGTAATTGAGTTAGTTCGAAGTGAGTTTTCATACAAGCCCAACGCACTAATTAAGGTTGTCGCAAAATGTAACATATATGTAACATATGTCAATGATGTCAATGAATTTTCATTAAAAAAATGATGTCTAGTACAGTTTACGAAACTTACGAACTTCGCCGAAACTTTTTTGGTGGGTAGTTTGGTAAGTATGTAGGCGGGTAAGTGGGTAAGTGGGTAGGTGGGTAGTTAGGTAGGTAGGTAGGTAGGTGGGTAGTAGGTAGGTAGGTAGGTGCGTCATGATGTGAAAAAATATTAAATACAAAATTGTTATTTTGGTGCGAATGAATGTTGTTACGAGAGATATGACGAATGCATGTTTGATGACGCGGATGAAAGAGAGTGAAGTTTTGCCATAGGAACGGGTTGTTATAGTATGCAAGCTAGGTAGTTCGGACTAGGGAGAATGTGAAAGATACTTCGTGTAATGTCGATAGTTTTATGTTTATACGAGAATAGTAGTTGAATAATTATTGACCAAGAAAATAATAGGCATTGTGTAAAGTGATTATCGCCTGTATCGTGGTGATGGGAATGCAGATGGTAGTGGTACGCTTTAAATGTTAGTAGATCACGTGATCAAACACGACACTCTCACAGCAGCCCTAACAGTCATGTATAAATGTGTCATCTAGTCCATATGGTCTTTGTGCTAAATTTCTCTTTTGCACATTTTTCGTTGTGTTTTTTCTGGTTGCGCATTTTTCTGTTTCTGTTTGCGCTTTTTTCCGTTTGCGCTTTTTTCTGTGTGCGCTTTTTTCCGTTTGCGCTTTTTTCCGTTTGCGCTTTTTTCTGTTTGCGCTTTTTTCTGTGTGCGCTTTTTTCTGTTTGCGCTTTTTTTCCGTTTGCGCTTTTTTCTGTTTGCGCTTTTTTCCGTTTGCGCTTTTTTCCGTTTGCGCTTTTTTCCGTGTGCGCTTTTTTCTGTTTGCGCTTTTTTCCGTTTGCGCTTTTTTCTCTTTGCGCTTTTTTCCGTTTGCGCTTTTTTCTGTTTGCGCTTTTTTCTGTGTGCGCTTTTTTCTCTTTGCGCTTTTTTCTGTTTGCGCTTTTTTCTCTTTGCGCATTTTTCCGTGTGCGCTTTTTTCTCTTTGCGCTTTTTTCCGTTTGCGCTTTTTTCTGTTTGCGCTTTTTTCTGTGTGCGCTTTTTTCTCTTTGCGCTTTTTTCCGTTTGCGCTTTTTTCTCTTTGCGCTTTTTTCTGTGTGCGCTTTTTTCTCTTTGCGCTTTTTTCCGTGTGCGCTTATTTCCGTTGCGCTTTTTGTTTTGCGCTTTTTTCCGTTGCGCTTTTTTCCGTTGCGGTTCTTTCCGGCCACCGCCATTTTTGCCGTTTCAAGAATTTAAAAAAAAATTACTCCCTCTAAGGTAGTTTAAACACCATATTACCACCTCAACATCTTGAGATGAGTGCAAAAAACCCCGGCCACTCTGATAGTTTTAAAAACCCTCGCAGTTTCTCTCATACATTTTTTTAGGGGTGGTCTATGTGATACAAACAGGATTGTATTTGATAGTTATTTGTTACATATAACCTTAAGCCTTAAAATAATGAGTTTGTCAAAGCGTATTCTTTAAGGGACTCTCATCTACCCGGGGTGAACTGTGACGTCACTGAGCCTACTCAGTTCTAATCAGTACCATTCAATGCATCATGAATGCTGCTGTTGGTTGCTTCACTTACACCACTACTTCACTTGCCATGGTTACAAGTACTGGTTAACTCTACTTCATCTGCCACAAATTCTTTCAGATCCCATGTGCACGTTTTAAATATGTATTGGTTGAGGGGGGGGGGGGGGGGGGTTCGTCGAGTTTTTTTTCTAAACGGTCGATCAAAAATTGTTTGGTGGATCCAACAATTATAAAGGATATATTTGGTGGGAATGTTGTTTTTCTGGCTGAGGGTGTTGCTTCTGTTGTTGTTGTTGTTGTTGTTGCGGTTGTTGCTGCTGCGGTTGTTGTTGTTGTTGTTGCTGCTGTTGCTGCGTTTGTTGTTGTTGTTGTTGTTATTGTTGCTGCTGTTGCTGCGGTTGTTGTCGTTGTTGCTGCGGTTGTTGTTGTCGTTGTTGCTGCGGTTGTTGTCGTTGTTGCTGCGGTTGTTGTTGTTGCTGTTGCTGCTGTTGTTGTCGTTGTTGCTGCGGTTGTTATTGTTGTTGCTGCGGTTGTTGTTGTTGCTGTTGCTGCTGTTGTTGTCGTTGTTGCTGTGGTTGTTATTGTTGTTGCTGCGGTTGTTGTTGTTGCTGTTGCTGCTGTTGTTGTCGTTGTTGCTGCGGATGTTATTGTTGTTGCTGCGGTTGTTGTTGTTGCTGTTGCTGCTGTTGTTGTCGTTGTTGCTGCGGTTGTTATTGTTGTTGCTGCGGTTGTTGTTGTTCTGACAGCTCTTCCCTTCTGGTGCCACTGTCGGCCACTCAAGTCAAATGTCAGCTGTGGTGTCAGACCAAGTCAAGTGTCAGCTGTAGTGTCAGACCAAGTCAAGTGTCAGCTGTAGTGTCAGACACTCGTGTGTCGCGTGCCAGGCTACTCGCTGACAGGAAACAGGTTGTCATCTGGGTCACTTCATGCGTTGACCTTGACAGTGAGTTAGACTAAATCCCCCCTCACGCCCCCACACTCAGTACTTTTATAAGTCCACACCCCCAACTTTCAAGCCAATCCTACACATGAGTTGGGAAAACTTTAAATCCTGCTTCACACCCTGTGGATAATGACGTGACAGTCATCACATGTGGATAATGACGTGACAGTCATCACATGTGGATAATGACGTGACAGTCATCACATGTGGATAATGACGTGATAATCATCACATGTGGATAATGACGTGATGATCATTAAGTGGATAATGATATGGCGACCCATTGTATCCATATAGTTTATACAGCTAGAGGTAGGTGGTTGGATATACTGCGTCCATTCCACCCTCCCATACCTATCCCCATTTAACATAAAGTTGTATAATTAATGGGATTAAGGACGGGTCTGCTTTATTGGCTTGTGGACATGTCTAACATCAGGTAAGAGGTGAATGGTTTGGATTTTGTTGTTGTTTTACATGTGGAAGGCTGATGTAGGCTGGCGTAGGGTGATGTAGGGAACTGTCATACAATACTGTCTACAGTTTAGAAATTTTTAGCGAATAATCTGACACTTGTTTTTTTTCCCTTTTAATTTAATTTTTGGCAATTTTTGTAGATAAGATACGTTTCTTCAATAACGTATTTGATACTCATACATTAAAATGATTGAGTATTTTTATTTAAGAAAAAAAAACACAACTGTAACTGTAACATAAAAGTGTTGTGAGCCACGTCCTACGCACATATAATGTCATCTTGACCATACAGCCTGTTCAACTCCCACTCACGACATTTCGTCATAATGACCGCTGTGACGTAGGTCGGATCAAAACAGGGTATTCCTCATTTTGTTTTTCTGGACCAAACAGCTCTTTATTGGAGGTGTAATAAATTGAAAAGCGATAATCAGTAACACAAAAGTAATATTTTTTCCTTGGAGAAGTCGTTGATATCATAGATTTTGAACAAGTTGGCAAATGTCTATCAATGATTATGTTTTAACAACAGGTTGTAATGAAAACAATCCACACGGCGGATTTGTTTGCGAAGGATTTTCGCGTAGGCTGAGTTGCATCATCGTTCTATTTATAAGTATGGGGTGACCTAGTTCAATAACATTTGTTTTCACAATGTTCGAAGCATGTATTAGAAATTACGCTACATTTATAATAAATGTCTATTGTTACTCTGTTAATACGTGGATCCGAAATTGGACAAGGAAAGTTAACACCTAGACTTCCGAGACCGATGTCCTAGGCCTAGTTAGATCTATATAACTCAGTAGTTACTTTCATTTTTTTTAGTCCAGCAAGACGTGACGAACGCATCGAACTACGTCTGCGCAGATCTTTACTCAAACGAAATAGGAAATCATTGGCTGTGTGTTTAGGACCTCCACCAATGAACGAACGGGTAACAAATGAGTTTCGACGCACACAGTGACATGACCTCCTTTCTGTTCCGGTTATTTCAGCACTGTTATGGATTAACTGTGTCACAGAAGTCATTTGCGACAGAAAGCGTGTTGCCGGTTTGCATTTAAACATCTATCTACGTCGTTTTAGTAAGGCGATATTTCACATCTAAGAAGTGTTCTGAGGTATTTAGATCTATTTCCACGTTGAACTGATATGATTTGTGTTGTGTTTATTTTAAATATATTTCGACCGAGGTCACGAAAGAGGTTGTTTACGTGCGTTCAAACAGAACAGCTGATCAATGAATTTTTTATTACACACCTACGTAACCTGTCAACGCAGATCTAGATCTAGTAATCTAGTCTAGATCTAGATCTATATTGACGCATTTTATATTGTATGATTTATTGCTAGCTGTTTGTGATTGTACTTTAGCATTATTACGTAAGTTATAGATTTAATTCATTTTAATATGAATACGCTACACTACTACAGTTTTAGCCTTTAGCTTTAGGCTTATTTCTATTTACTAATATTTACTATTATTTATACCTATTTATTTACTAATGTTTATTTTAGATCTAATCTTCACATCTGTCAATTATTTGGAATGCACTAGTTGACTAGTGACTAGATCTAGTCTAGATCTAGATCGATTCTAGTCTGATGTAGATTACATTAGGCCTATTGTTAATTTAGTTATATTCATCAATTATTGATTAGGGCATCATTAGGGCATATCTCCTAAAAATAAGATCCGCTCGTCTATTGATCAACATGTAATAACCTTAACTTAAAAACAAAGTAAGCCTATCAACTTTATTTTATCAATTTAATATTATTAAAATTAAATGATAATGTGTTCATACGAGCAAAAAAAAATACGATCAATGTGTAACAATTTAAATATTTTTAAAAATATCCGACTTAAGCTTGGTCTCCAGCTATTTTTAATCACTGCAACAATAAAATCGAATGGAGGCTGCTGTGACCTGGTCACGTGATATCTATTTATGGTCTATTTTTCTCTGTGCCCAATCGATCGTCTTCTACGCACTGGCGTTGTCTAACCGGTAAACGGAAAAAAAGTCACAGGAAAAAAAAACACAGAAAAAAAGTCACAGTTTTTGCTAGGAAAAAAAGTCACGGAAAAAAAGTCACAGTGGAAAAATTTTATCGGAAAAAAAGTCACAGAAATAAAGTCACAGAAAAAAAGTCACAAAAATCTTTTTAGAAATATTTTTATTAATTTGATAAAAATTGTAAAATTTTGTATGTTTATTGTTGTGTGTTGTATTTTTTGATAGCATAAATTATTTATAGACGTTAAAAGCATTATGATTTATAACAATTGTAAGTAAAAAAATACTCTAAGATAATTAACACAGCAATGTAAACATTTGTTACGTATTTAGTTAAATACGCGGTAGAAAAGTTAATTATAAAAGAAATTTAGGCACATTTTGCCGTAGGCTATTCTCTGGTCGGCCTCTCCTCAGTAGGCATTGTCCGAACATATTGTGTGTTGTTGACGTTATGCGTCATCGACAGCCTTTGAACCTTGTCGGCTTTCTGTTTTGAACCTAAGTTTTGTTATGTAATGAGCGTGATAAATGTGGGAAGTAAAGGTGGTTGAACTAAACATAACTATTGTTGCCATGAGTTGAGGACAGCAAGTCAGATGAACTTACCATTTCACGGTAATTTAATATTGGTATTTAAAAAAAACACGATGAAAAACGTGGACTTTGGAGCAATCTATTAAATGCTACTAATCTTAAGTTTAAAATAATTACAATCAACATACTTCAAAATAAATATTTCTAGATGAATTATAAAAATTCCTATGCGTATACAGCCTACACACATTGCATTACATTTAATTAATCCTCAGTTAATTTGCACTCTCTAAATATTAAATACATACAAGTATTAACAAATATCATGCAAATATATATTTGTGACTTTTTTTCCTGTGACTTTTTTTCCTGTGACTTTTTTTCCTGTGACTTTTTTTCTGTGTTTTTTTTTCCTGTGTTTTTTTTTCCTGTGACTTTTTTTCCTACAATCGTCTAACCTGAGCATTCTAATTTGAACTTGATGAAACTAACACCTGGGTGTTTAGCGTGTTGAACTTGTGTCGTTTATTATCAATGGCTTGGTGTGGTTACTGGCGAAATTAAATATATTGACAATTGTCTGATGATCAATACATTAAAGTGACTGCCTTCTCCGGGCATCCCGTTCGTCAGTCATTTTTTTTTTAAATAAAGCGTTTGTGAATCATTGAAGTTGTTATATTTCGCATGTTAAATTATATGTATTTGTGTGTATGTATGTGTGTGTTGTGCTAATCACGTCAAAGTTTAGCCAAGTATCAGATGGTTGTACTGTCGTCTGCTCCCGTCACCAGTGCCATTTACTTTTTTACCAGTTGTACACAGTTGAACCATGGCGTGCCGGCACAGTATCCTAGCAACAGCCTCGTGCCTGAGTAAACCAAAGATGGCCGTCCACTTGCTGCGGTCCGTCCAGGGTGACGTCACCCGCGCCCTCGTCTGTCACTACAGCACAGAGGGGCTACAGCCCAGGGAGCGGGCGGCGGCCAAGAAGTACAAGCTGGTCGTGGTGGGCGGCGGGAGTGGAGGGTGCGCCGTGGCCGCCAAGTTTTCCTCGCTGGGGAAGGAGTGTGCGGTCATTGAACCCAACAATGTAAGTCTTCATCTAGGATTTTCGCCCTTTAAAGTAGTATTTTCCTTTTAAATGTTATGATTGTTTCCCTTTGTTGAAAAAATGATTATAATGATGTTAGCTTCTCATTAACCTGTTTAACTTCAGTGGAACTTAGTGGACTAATCCTTGTAAGACTCATGCAGTAGTATCGTGCTGTATCCATACCCCTCCCCCCCCCCCCCCACTCCCTTCAGTAAGAAATGGTTAGGGTGAGAGTTCAGTCTCACACACAAGCTATACAGTGGTGATGGGTGGTTCACATGTCGGGTTCTAGAACTGTATCAACAGTTGAATGTGTTATCCCCCCCCCCCTCTTCACCCCACCCTACCTTAACATCTTACCATATACATGATATACTCACCGACCCGTACATATCCCATATGCCAGTGAGCCCAAATATTCATATGCTCTTATTTCTGTGCAATGTGAACCAATACATTCATTAAATTATAATCCTCTGCACTCATAAGCTGATTTACACATGCACTCAAAAGCCCATGCACCCAAAGCCCATGTACCCAAAAGCCCATGTACACAAAAGCCCATGTACACAAAAGCCCATGTACCCAAAAACCCATGTACCCAAAAGCCCATGTACCCAAAAGCCCATGTACCCAAAAGCCCTTGTACACAAAAGCCCTTGTACACAAAAGCCCATGTACCCAAAAGCCCTTGTACACAAAAGCCCATGTACAAAAAAGCCCATACACCCTGAATCATATAGACCAACTACAGTAGGTGCCACGTATGCACAATAAATAATCCAGAACGTGTCAAAAGTTGTTGGGACAAATCCGGTGTGTTGATTGGTTGAAGTTTTTAGTTGCAAGTGTTAGCTGTCACATGTAGGCAAGATGTGTCATTTGTCAACAGAGGGTAGACAGTACACAGGTATACAGTGTGGTGTATACAGTGAGGTATGTACACTGTCACCTGCAGGTAGGAAGTGTACACTGTCACCTGCAGGCAGGATGTGTACACTGTCACCTGCAGACAGAATGTGTACACTGTCACCTGCAGACAGGATGTGTACACTGTCACCTGCAGACAGAATGTGTACACTGTCACCTGCAGACAGAATGTGTACACTATCACCTGCAGACAGGATGTGTACACTGTTGCCTGCAGACAGGGTGGGATAAGTTTTGACTGTGGCAGGGTGGGATAAATTTTTTTTATACCATTGTTTGCACTCTTAAGTTTTCTTCATCAAGGACAGGTTGTATGTGGGGGGGGGGGGGGGGGGGGGGCGGTGCAGGACCATTACAAACGTTGGGAAACTTGTGACATTTAGGATCTGTCGTGTGTGTGTGTGCGCGGTGTGAGGGTGTGTGTGTGTGTGTAGACCCAGCTAGGCTTCCTTACACACCTGATTCTGCCACAAGACGGCGTGTCATACCGTAAAGCCTCACCAAAGCCTGAGCCTGAATTGATCACAAGTTTGATGCGGTGTTGGCGTGTCGGGTCGTGTTATGTCAGAACTTGTCAAGGTTGTATGTAGGATCTCAGCCCGTGACCCCTGGGGTTAAAGGCTGGGGTCAATACGTGACCCTCGTGATTGTATTAGGTGAACCTTATCGTGTATTTCATTCAACCTTGGGTACTGTCGCTGACTGAAATCTTCTCTTCTCAATCGCTAACTTTTCATTGCGACATGGATGTGACCTTGACATTGGAAACTTCATCCGGGAATCACGTTAAACTTTTTCCCAACCTAGACCTGCTCAGGTGTCAGATGAGGAATGTGTTTACAGCCTGCCCACCCCCCCCCCTCCTGTTACAGAGAGGGAGAGGTCCAGTAATTAGGCCCGGGCTCTAATTAAACCCATGCCACACCCACCTACTTCAAATCACCAACCCCACACACTGAACCCACACACATACACTGAACCCCCCACATATACACTGACCCCCACACACACACTGAACCTCCACACACACTGAACCCCCACACGCACTCACTGAACCCATACGCACACACTGAACCCATGCGCACACACTGAACCCACACCCACTGAACCCACACACACACTGAACCCACACACACACACTGAATCCACACACACACACACACACTGAACCGACACGCACACACTGAACTCACACTGTAACTACTCACTCACGGTTCATTAGTTATAAAACTGACACGGCAACGACACCTCAACTTTTCAAAATCCCCCCCCCCCCACCCCCGGTGTAAAAAAAACAGATATCCCAGCAGCATTAGATGACCAAAGCCTATCTTGTCCGCTCCACCTAAAACTGTAACAGTCACACAACCTATCCCAGCAGTATTAGATGACCAAAGCCTCTCTTGTCCGCTCCACCTAAAACTGTAACAGTCACACAACGCCAAGGTACGTTATGCTAACTTGATCGGCCTCCACCTCAATCTAGTCCAAAGTTCGAGTTTTAAAATAACCTATCCCGCAATTAGTTGTGTGGTTAATTAACACGACACATTAATTTAGAGCGGTACCTGAAGTTCTCGTTTAGCGAATGTAAATGTAAGCCCTATAAATAACTTTTTGATTGGCTCATCACTTTGTGGTTTAGATTTCAAAATTTTCTTTAATTGAAATTTATTTTTAGAAAGATAAAAGAAAACGGAAATTCCCATAAGCTGCCCTGATTTTTATGAACTTGTGGATCTCTGCGTTTTTTTTTCTCCATCTAGATCTAGGCGAAATAAGTCGATGAAATTATTAATAATAAATTTATATTTTATTTTTGTGATGCACGTTACTGAGATGTGATAGAAAGATTAAATGAGAGATTTGAATGGAGTGTAGATCTAGATGATTTGTCTCAAGGACTAGGCTGGTAGCGAGGTCACAAGTTTAACCAAGGTCAGCAGGAAGGGTCTGTCCCGCGTGACCTCTTGGGTCAGGGAAGTCTCTCAGCTAGCGAGTACAAATGTTTACGTCTGTGGTGAGAGGGCTAACACGACAACCAGCTGCGCGCGCACCTCACGATTAGACACTGCTGGTAGTTCAGGGGCGGCCTTCACCTTGCTGGGGGTCTTTCCTCACGTATTTTCCGACACCCGGACGGCGCTATAAATAGATTGTGGTTTCGTAACAGCCGAAGTTGTTGGTGTGTAGAATGTAACGTGTGAGATTGGCGTCGCTGACGAGTGATTCGCTGGTTTGATGGGGTAGATGATGGACATGTCACGTCTAGCAGTTGATGTGTCACGTCTGTCAGGTGATCTGTCACGTGATCTGTCACGTCTGTCAGGTGATCTGTCACGTCTAGCAGGTGATATGTCACGTCTATCAGACGATCCCTCACCACCAGCAGACGATATCTGAAGTTATCTCCCGAGTATCACCTGCAGCCGTCAGGATGGTCACGTGTGTTGGGTGAACGTCTGATAAGGCCCGCTACTCCGTGGTCTGCTTCACGTCTGCTGGTCTTACAACTGTCGGTTGGTCTAACTACCGCCTGTCGGGTTGGTCTAACTACCGCCTGTCTGGTTGGTCTAACTCCCGCCTGTCGGGGTGGTCTAACTACCGCCTGTCGGGTTGGTCTAACTACCGCCTGTCGGATTGGTCTAACTACCGCCTGTCTGGTTGGTCCAACTACCGCCTGTCTGGTTGGTCCAACTACCGCCTGTCGGGTTGGTCTAACTACCGGCTGTCGGGTTGGTCTAACTACCGGCTGTCGGGTTGGTCTAACTACCGCCTGTCGGGTTGGTCTAACTACCGCCTGTTGGGTTGGTCTAACGAGATTGTGAGCGAACGTACGGGAGGTCCACGCTAGCTCAATGCTTGACCTTACCTCAGTAGTAGAAATACTGGCAGCATATTTAAGTACTCATCCTGTCTATGTATGGCGCAGTGTGTAAGGGTGGGCTCCAGTAGACAAATACTTGTGAAGATGGGGGTAGGGGGTGGGAATGATTTGACTGTTCGCCCTTGAAGAGATAACATCTTCAATTTTATTATTCGCCTAATTAACTTTTTTTTTGAGGGAGGGTGGGATGACTATTTTCGTCAAAGCACTGATGTGATCTCGCCCAACTCACGTTTGTTTTGTTTTTTTGTATTTGATATCACATTATTCACACTGATGTGATCTCACCTAACTCACATGTTTTGTAGTCAGACACCCGCCCCGCCGCACGGTGCACTTAACCCTAGACACACCCACCACCAAATGTCGGTAAATCGCCCCAAGGTCACGCGTCTACTCACGTATTTCACCCTGCGGGTAAAAACGAGGTCAGCCTCGTTCTGACCCAAGGTTCGCTCGCACTTTACCGCGGGGTTGTGTTCGCTGTACCGTGACATCTGGGTCAGCTGTGGAGAATAGGGTAGAGACTGCAGGCTCAGGGATTTTATGGCTGTGTGATGGCGTGCTGACAGACACGGCTGACGTGCTGTCCGACACGGCTGACGTGCTGTCCGACACGGCTGACGTGCTGTCCGACACGGCTGACGTGCTGTCCGACACGGCTGACGTGTTGTCCGACACGGCTGACGTGATGGTGTGCTGTCCGACACGGCTGTATGATGACGTGCTGTCCGATAACCGCAAGCAGTTGAATCAAAGACCAAACTGTTCCAATTTTTTGTTATCGCTCCAGTTCACCGGGTTTTTAACTGGCATAACACACCAGAGTAAACACATGAATCTTTGACTCATCTGGTTTGACTGTAAACTTTCTTTTGATGTCTTCTCCACTTCTCAAGCCTGAGTATCAAAATGTAAAAACTTCACACATGAAAGTACAGGAAACACGCGCACAATATCAACAAGTTGGGCTAGTGTAGGCCTCTACCAACCCTGACGAATTAGATCTTGATCAGAACATTTCCTCTCTCCTACTTTCTCCCTCCCTCACCCCACATATTTTCAGCACTCCTCTGAATGGGTTAAGATTCACTGACATACGGAGGTTGAAGTCCTGGCATAGCGTGGATTAGAATATGACGTTCTGTCATGACAGTAGCATCAGCAATCTGACATGACAGTAGCATCAGCAATCTGACATGACAGTAGCATCAGCAATCTGACATGACAGTAGCATCAGCAATCTGACATGACAGTAGCATCAGCAATCTGTCATGACAGTAGCATCAGCAATCTGACATGACCACGTAAACCCACTGTGAGACCCCCTGAATGACAAGTGGACACTAACCAAATAAACATTGAGTGTCAAGTACACATTCCTCTGGTAGACAGGCGCGTGGCTATTAACACTTGTAATCAAGCCCAGATTAATTAGCGGGAGTGGTTTGTCAACTTAATGTTAACTTTTATCTGGCTGCCCCCCCCCCCCCCCGCTACTACTTCTCCCCCCCCCCCCCTTACCTCCCATCTTCTATCCTGTAGCTGATACTTACCACCATCCGCTTTGTGTGAACGTGATCCATACAAGCCATCTCTAGTCACATAACTCTTCTAGTTGACCAACGTCCTAGTTGACCAACGTCCTAGAGGCCAACAACTCTTGCTCTAGTCATGACACATCAGTTAGTTCCCCTTGTTGTCCACCGTCCTAGAGGCCAACAACTCTTGCTCTAGTCCTGACACGTCAGTTAGTTCCCTTTGTTGCCCACACCCAATTAACCCTAGTTTATCTTGTTAATGTAATCAAGTGAATGTGGTATTCCATTAACTCTAATGTGTGTGTTGGGGGGGGGGGGGTGTATTGACGAAAATAGACATCCCACCCTCCCTCAAAGCTTCAGATACCACACACACAGCTAAGTCAATCAAGTATTTACCTTGTCCGCCCCCCCCCCCACACAGATAAGTCTGTCCAACTAATTGACCAACTAACTGACCAACCAACTGACCAAACAACTGACCAACCAACTGATCAAACAACTGACCAACCAACTGACAAACCAACTGACCAACCAACTGACCAACCAACTGACCAACCAACCAAACAACTGACCAACCAACTGACAAAGCAACTGACCAACCAACTGACCAACCAACTGACCAACCAACTGATCAAACAACTGACCAATCAACTGACAAACCAACTGACCAACCAACTGACCAACCAACCAAACAACTGACCAACCAACTGACAAACCAACTGACCAAACCAACTGACCCACCAACTGACAAACCAACTGACCAACCAACTGACCAACCAACTGACCAAACCAACTGACCCACCAACTGACAAACCAACTGACCAACCAACTGACCAACCAACTGACCAACCAACCAACCGACCAACCAACTGACCAACCAACTGACCAACCAACTGACCAACCAACCAACTGACCAACCAACTGACCAACCAACTGACCAACCAACTGACCAACCAACCAACTGACCAACCAACCAACCGACCAACCAACCGACCAACCAACTGACCAACCAACTGACCAACCAATTGAGCAGCTCTTGTGTTGACAGATGCACTACTACCAGCCCATCTGGACACTGGTCGGTGCCGGACTGAAGGGGTTCCAGTCCTCTGTCCAGCCCATGAGCCAGGTCCTGCCACAGAGCTGCGAGTGGATCCAGGAGAGGGCCGTCAAGTTTGACCCTCAGAACAACACGGTGGAGCTGGCGTCTGGGGATAAGGTGGGTCATGGGTCAGGTGGGTCATGGCACAGGTGGGGTGGGTCATGGGTCATGGCACAGGTAGGGTGGGTCATGGGTCATGGCACAGGTAGGGTGGGACATAACACAGATCAGGAAGGTCATGGGTCATGGCACAGGTAGGGTGGGTCAGGCGGGTCATGGCACAGGTAGGGTGGGTCATGGGTCATGGCACAGGTAGGGTGGGTCAGGTGGGTCATGGCACAGGTAGGGTGGGACATAACACAGATCAGGAAGGTCATGGGTCATGGCACAGGTAGGGTGGGTCAGGCGGGTCATGGCACAGGTAGGGTGGGTCATGGGTCATGGCACAGGTAGGGTGGGTCAGGTGGGTCATGGCACAGGTAAGGTGGGTCATTGCTCAGGGAGGGTGGGTCATGGCACAGGTAGGATGGGTCATGGCACAGGTAGGGTGGGTCATGGCACAGGTAAGGTGGGTCATTGCTCAGGGAGGGTGGGTCATGGCACAGGTAAATGACCTGTATAAACTGACCCTTTAAAAAATAAACCTGTATAAAATGACCGTTATAAAAATGACCTTTAAAATGACCTGTATTAAGTGAGTACTTCTAACATGACCTATTTAAAATGACCTGTATTAAGTGGGTACTTCGAAAATGACCAGTTTTAAAAATGACCTTTAAAATGACCTGTTTTAAGTGAGTACTTCTAAAATGACCTTTTTAAAACTACCTGTATTAAGTGAGTACTTCTAACATGACCTATTTAAAATGTCTCTCCTGCCAGGTCCAGTACGACTACCTGGTTGTGGCTATGGGGATCCAGCTGGACTACGGCAAGGTCAGTGACCTGGTCACTTATATCACTGTAACTTTAGTTACTGCAACTTATTTTAAAATGTAAGCTGTTGTCACTGAAGCTGTTGTCACTGTACGCTGTTGTAAACTGTACAGCTGTTGTCGTGCAGGTGAAAGGCTTGCTGGATGCGCTAGAGCACGACACCACCGTGGCGTCCAACTACCACCCCAGGTGGGTCAACAAAACCTTCCCAGCCTTGCAGCAGTTCCGTGGCGGCAACGCCATCTTCACCTTCCCCAACACCCCCATCAAATGTGCTGGCGCCCCACAGAAGATCATGTACCTGGCTGATGAGTTCTTTCGTAAGGTGAGCACATTGGCTTCTCATGGAGAATATTTTCTAATGTCTTCATTCATATCTGTGTGTACACGTCCACTGTGTGTACACGCCCACTGGTGTGTACACGTCCACAGTGTGTACCAGTATCAAACCCCTGTACTTGTACACCAGGTAATGAGATGACTGCGTACATCCACAGGCCTGCGTCAGGGATCAGACCAAAGTGCTCTTCAACACATCCCTGGGTGTTATATTTGGCGTCAAGAAGTACGCAGACGCTCTACAGAAAGTCATAGACAAAAAGTAAGTGTTTATGTCCCACTACAACATGGTTTTATTCATTTGTAGACAAAAATTAAGCTGGTTATCTCCCCTGGCAACATGGTTTTATTCAGCTGGTTATTTCCCCTTATTCTGCCCCACTAGATTGTGTCCCTTGAGTTAGAAAAATACCTTTTGATAAACAATTGTGAGGTTTGGGATAACCTTCCTCCCCCCCCCCCCCCCCACAGTCTGTAGCCTACATATAAACTCAAATATTTTTAATAAAAATTTAAAATTATTTTATATTTTTTATATTTTAAAACCACGATTAAAAAAAAATCAATGGATTATTTAGTAACTTAATTAATTTAATGAAATATTTTCAAAGAACCATTAAAGTATTGATTGTGTATCTCTCTCCCCCCCCCCCCCCCAGGGATATAACAGTGAACTACAAACACAACTTGGTGGAGGTGGACCACAAAACAAAGACAGCGCTCTTTGAGAAACTTGATGATAACAACAAAATTGTACCCTTCAAGGTACTCACTGCTGTCTTGGTGTCTGTCCTGTTGTCTCACTGCTGTCTTGGTGTCTGTCCTGTTGTCTCACTGCTTGTCACCCCCACCCCATATGTCTATGGTGTGATGACTGTGTTGTTGTTACATTATGACTTCCTCCACGTGACCCCGCCCATGTCACTCGCCCCCCCCCCATGTCACCCCCCATTTTACCCGCGCCCCATGTCACCCACACCTTATGTCAGTGGTATAATGATTGTGTCCCCTTCCTACCCACCATGTGACCCCGCCCCCTTATGTCAGTGGTGTGATGACTGTTGTTGTTGTTACAGTGCGATGTCCCCCCACCCACCATGTGACCCCGCCCCCTTATGTCAGTTATGTGATGATTGTGTTGTTGCAGTACGACTTCCTCCACGTGACCCCGCCCATGTCCCTCCACCCACCACGTGACCCCGTCCATGTCCCGCCCCTTATGTCAGTCATGTGATGACTGTTTTTGTTGTTGCAGTATGACTTCCTCCACGTGACCCCGCCCATGTCCCCCCACCCACCACGTGACCCCGCCCATGTCCCCGCCCCTTATGTTAGTCATGTGATGACTGTTGTTGTTGTTGCAGTACGACTTCCTCCATGTGACCCCGCCCATGTCCCCGCCCCTTATGTCAGTCATGTGATGACTGTTGTTGTTGTTGCAGTATGACTTCCTCCACGTGACCCCGCCCATGTCCCCCCCACCCACCACGTGACCCCGCCCCTTATGTCAGTCATGTGATGACTGTTGTTGTTGTTGCAGTATGACTTCCTCCACGTGACCCCGCCCATGTCCCCGCCCCTTATGTCAGTCATGTGATGACTGTTGTTGTTGCAGTATGACTTCCTCCATGTGACCCCGCCCATGTCTCCGCCCCTTATGTCAGTCATGTGATGACTGTTGTTGTTACAGTATGACTTCCTCCACGTGACCCCGCCCATGTCCCCGCCCCTTATGTCAGTCATGTGACGACTGTTGTTGTTGTTACAGTATGACTTCCTCCATGTGACCCCGCCCATGTCTCCGCCCCTTATGTCAGTCATGTGATGACTGTTGTTGTTGCAGTATGACTTCCTCCATGTGACCCCGCCCATGTCTCCGCCCCTTATGTCAGTCATGTGATGACTGTTGTTGTTACAGTATGACTTCCTCCACGTGACCCCGCCCCTTATGTCAGTCATGTGATGACTGTTGTTGTTGCAGTATGACTTCCTCCACGTGACCCCGCCCATGTCAAGCCCTGACGTCCTGAAGGCCAGCCCCCTGGTCAATGAAGCGGGCTGGGTGGACGTCCACAAACACACACTCCAACACAACAAGTTCCCCAACATCTTTGGTCTCGGGGACTGCACCAGTCTACCCACCTCTAAGACAGGCGCTGCTGTGGGTAAGTAAACTTTAGCTGCAAGGGTGGGGGAGGGGTCTGATTTTAAGGGATTTTAACTGCAGGTATGGTAGCATATATATGTGTCATACATTGATCAATGTCATGTTTGTCATTCTCTGATGTCTTGTCTCTCATCCACTGACTGATGTCATGTCTCTCATCCACTTACTGACACATGTCTGTCATCCACTGACATATGTCCTGTCTGTCCACCAGCTGCCCAGTGTGGGATCCTACACAAGAACCTGACAGCCCTGGTCAAGGGAAACAGCCTGGAGCCTCTGGTCAGTAGCTTCAGCCATTGTCTTTTCTGGCAACAGCTCATGTTCTTATTAGAAAATCTGTTGACCTTGACCTACATGGTTAGCTTCAACTCCTATCTCTGATTTTTTTCCATTAGTAGGATGGATGCATGTTTGGTACCTCCCACCCCACCCCCCCCCCATATAATTGTTTGCCCTTGACCCCCGACCCCAAATGCTGGCTACATATATGTGTGAACTCTGACCCCCAGTATAACGGCTACACCTCCTGTCCCCTGATCTAATTGTGTGACCTCTGACCCCCAGTCTAATTGTGTGACCTCTGACCCCCCATCTAATTGTGTGACCTCTGACCCCCCCATCTAATTGTGTGACCTCTGACCCCCCCCCCCCCTCTAATTGTGTGACCTCTGACCCCCCATCTAATTGTGTGACCTCTGACCCCCCTCTAATTGTGTGACCTCTGACCCCCCATCTAATTGTGTGACCTCTGACCCCCAGTATGATGGCTACACATCCTGACCCCCAGTCTAATTGTGTGACCTCTGACCCCCATCTAATTGTGTGACCTCTGACCCCCTCTAATTGTGTGACCTCTGACCCCGGTCTAATTGTGTGACCTCTGACCCCCATCTAATTGTGTGACCTCTGACCCCCCCCTCTAATTGTGTGACCTCTGACCCCGGTCTAATTGTGTGACCTCTGACCCCCATCTAATTGTGTGACCTCTGACCCCCATCTAATTGTGTGACCTCTGACCCCCCCCCTCTAATTGTGTGACCTCTGACCCCCATCTAATTGTGTGACCTCTGACCCCCCCATCTAATTGTGTGACCTCTGACCCCGGTCTAATTGTGTGACCTCTGACCCCCCATCTAATTGTGTGACCTCTGACCCCCCATCTAATTGTGTGACCTCTGACCCCGGTCTAATTGTGTGACCTCTGACCCCGGTCTAATTGTGTGACCTCTGACCCCGGTCTAATTGTGTGACCTCTGACCCCCAGTATGATGGCTACACATCCTGACCCCCAGTCTAATCGTGTGACCTCTGACCCCCCAATCTAATTGTGTGACCTCTGACCCCCCAATCTAATTGTGTGACCTCTGACCCCCAGTATGACGGCTACACCTCCTGTCCCCTGATCTAATTGTGTGACCTCTGATCTAATTGTGTGACCTCTGACCCCCGGTATGACGGCTACACCTCCTGTCCCCTGATCTAATTGTGTGACCTCTGATCTAATTGTGTGACCTCTGACCCCCGGTATGACGGCTACACCTCCTGTCCCCTGATCTAATTGTGTGACCTCTGACCCCCCCCGATCTAATTGTGTGACCTCTGACCCCCCTGATCTAAGTGTGTGACCTCTGACCCCCCTGATCTAATTGTGTGACCTCTGACCCCCAGTATGACGGCTACACCTCCTGTCCCCTGATCACAAGCAGCAGGACGTGTATCCTGGCAGAGTTTGACTACGAGGGCAAACCCCTGGAGACCCTGCCTATCAACCAGGCCAAGGAGCTGAACCTGTCCTACAACATGAAGGCCTACGTCATGCCAGAGATCTACTGGAAGGTCATGATGAAGTAAGTACAACATGAAGGTCATGATGAAGTAAGTACAACATGAAGGTCATGATGAAGTAAGTACAACATGAAGGTCATGATGAAGTAAGTACAACATGAAGGTCAGGATGAAGTCAGTACAACATGAAGGTCATGATGAAGTAAGTACAACATGAAGGTCATGATGAAGTAAGTACAACATGAAGGTCAGGATGAAGTCAGTACAACATGAAGGTCATGATGAAGTAAGTACAACATGAAGGTCATGATGAAGTAAGTACAACATGAAGGTCATGATGAAGTAAGTACAACATGAAGGTCATGATGAAGTAAGTACAACATGAAGGTCAGGATGAAGTCAGTACAACATGAAGGTCATGATGAAGTAAGTACAACATGAAGGTCATGATGAAGTAAGTACAACATGAAGGTCAGGATGAAGTCAGTACAACATGAAGGTCATGATGAAGTAAGTACAACATGAAAGTCATGATGAAGTAAGTACAACATGAAGGTCATGATGAAGTAAGTACAACATGAAGGTCAGGATGAAGTAAGTACAACATGAAGGTCATGATAAAGTAAGTACAACATGAAGGTCATGATGAAGTCAGTACAACATGACGGTCATGATGAAGTAAGTACAACATGAAGGTCATGATGAAGTAAGTACAACATGAAGGTCATGATGAAGTAAGTACAACATGAAGGTCATGATGAAGTACAACATGAAGGTCATGATGAAGTACAACATGAAGGTCATGATAAAGTAAGAACAACATGAAGGTCATGATGACGTAAGTACAACATGAAGGTCAGGATGAAGTCAGTACAACATGAAGGTCATGATGAAGTACAACATGAAGGTCAGGATGAAGTCAGTACAACATGAAGGTCATGATGAAGTAAGTACAACATGAAGGTCATGATAAAGTAAGTACAACATGAAGGTCATGATGAAGTCAGTACAACATGAAGGTCATGATGACGTATACAGGTCTGACATCGTATGTGATGTAGGGCCAGTTAGCTCTATTGTCATCCATTAACCCTATTTGCTTTAGGAAACCCCTTGCCAATATCAAGGGAAACCACTAGCCAATATCAAGGGAAACCACTTGCCAATATTAAAGCTTGTTAAAATAAAACAAGTGTCAACTTATTAAGTTGTTGTATGTCTAATATACCCGACTGAACTTAATACATATGCAAAAATATGTTCCGCATTAATACAGGAAAATTCATAGAAGTTTTAAAAAAGTAAGATTTGTATACTTTTACAAGAGTTACTAGGCTGGCTCAGTCAACTTAGGGTTGTCAGTTTGGTATCTTTTCTTAAGGCAAAAGTCTGATGAAATAATTTATCTTTTCTTTCAGGGGCAGGTGGAATGGACCAAAAACTTTTCGCAGAATTCTTCACTGTGGATTTGACAGAAGGCCTAATCTGAAAGTATAACGTCAAGTTTTAGTAGACATGTTTGTTTGATTCCTTCATGCCAGATTTTACTGCTAGAGACAAGACTTAACTCTGTTACCCTGTAAACCAGTCTGACAGGAAATGACCTTTGTTTACCAAATTTTCATTTTAACCCACGAACTGTGGTCAGCTGAAAACTATCAGCCAATGAAAAACTTTGTATAAAATTGACTTCCAATCAAATATTTTCCAGAAAATAACTCATATATTTAAAATAATTAAATCTACTGTTTTGTGCCATATATTGATAATTTTTTGCATAGAAAATCTGCCCTTTTAAAATCTATTATTAAAAAACTATCAGTTTTGCTTGACATGATAAGGGAGTTAAATCCTACTGTATAAAATTGTTTCCCTTTAAACAGGGTATGTATATTTTGTTGTCACACTGGTGCTGTTTAGGAGAGAATTTTTTTTTTCAAAGTAGTGGCCCTTGTTATGAGATTCTATAAATAGCTGTATGTATTTCCCCAAATATTCCATTGATGAAATGTTCCACTACTCTCTGCTCCACTAACAATCTGATACAAGTCCCTGGCCAATTGCTTCATAGAGCACCCACAACACTTTAAACACTAGTAGTTTAAATCTTAAGGTTAAAATTTAAATAGAAGGTGCTTGTATTTTTTAGCTTATTACATTTTTTATTTTGCTATTTGTTGACTTGACTGTACTAATCTGTTTCAGTCCTCAGAGTAAATTCTATTTTTTTAAATCATGTAAATAATGAGATTGTGATACCAATGAAAAAGTGTGTTGTGTATGAATGTTAGTGTGGGGTTGTGGTCTGTGATGAATGGTTGCTGGTATGTGTAAATAAGTTTTAATGGTGGGTCATTGGAATTTATTCATATGTATATGCTGTCTCTGCTACCTACGGTTAGCCACAGTGTATGCTACCTACGTAGGCTCTTACAATATTTCAATCATATGGTGAATGAAGTTTAAAAAATCTATTTTTGTACAGAGGATATTTCTCTTGTTTTGTTCATATTTACAATAAAGATTTAAATTTTTTTAAAACCTGCATGACACCTTGTTTCTGATCTAAATCTGATTTTTAAAAAAAATCTTAAATTTGTTTCATACCTTTGTAGATTGGTTCAGTGTTGAATGTCACTTGTTTATCATTTGAAACAGACACCCCACTTCAGATTAAACTAAACTATTCATGGAGTGACAGCATTGTATGTGAGGTGTAAGAAACCTTCACCATTGAAACCCAGTTAATGTTGAAACAACCGCATCTAAAAAAAACTAGAGTAGTTGGTCAGATCAAATTCTTCTTTCTGGCCAACATGGCAAATTTCCGGTGACGTTCTAGTAGAATGCTGTACATGGTATCATCTAATTATAAATATCGTAGATGTATTGGCATATGTAACATATCTCTTACACTTGGTTGTGCAAATTGTTTTTAGTTCTTTTTACATATGTGCATGGTTTATGATAATAAATGATTTTATCCCCAACTAATTTGAGTGTAAATTACTAAGTCAATTTTTGTTCTGTTTGAGGAAAACTGTATTGTATGTGTTCATGCACATTTCTCTATGACAATATGGTTTTAAACAAGATCAGCCCAAAAAACAAAGTTGTAATGTGCACACATTTAATCAACAAATCAAAAATGTATATAAATAGATTTCTGTAGGTCACCAGAGTAATACTTGATTTGGTGCTTTATATTTATTTTTTTGTATTTAACATTCAGTTCACTCATGGATTGTTAAAATCTACTACAGACAGCAAATAAACTTGCCTGCTTGAGATCTAACAGCTGATTGGCCAACATTTTAGTTTGAACTTGCTTGCTTGAGATCTAACAGCTGATTGGCCAACATTTTAGTTTGAACTTGCCTGCTTGAGAACTAACATTTCATTGGTTAATATTCAAACTAATAAAATTTGTTGGCTTTAGATGTAGCATTAAAATTAAGTTTTAATATTTTAGGTACTTGAGTATTATGGGATACTTTGTGACCATATGATCTAGAGCATTTACATTTAATAAAATTACTGGCCTAAACTAAACACTAACAAGAACAATTTTTTACAAATATTTTTTATGTGATCTATGGACTTCAAGCATGAAGTGATGAAAAGGGTTATAAGCAGGTTTTGTTTCTGAAATTGCAATAAAGACAAGGGTGCTATTCAACATGTCTTTTCTACAACTATATCCATGGTCTAACTCTTGGCATGGAAAAAACACTTAGTAAATATTGTTCTTCTAGACATACGCAATGACCCCATATTCCGTGATGTTGAGCACTCCTTTAGTAATGGCAACAAATAGTTGAATCAACAAAACACTATCATGTTTCTGATTTACATTCCATTTCAGAAATCTGGATCCGGTTTATGTTGAACTTTCTGCCATGCTGTTGGTTCTGGATTTTGCTTGAACGAATGATGCCAAAATATTGCTGATAAAATGGATGTTAATAATGTACATTTCAAACTCAATAAACTAGTGGACAAATATATTTTAAAAATGTGACATTCCCTTTTTTTTTGCTTGAAAACCACAGGTTACACACCAAAGTTAATCAAAATGTTAAAAGTTAAATTGTGTGACACTAAATGAATTTGTGAATTTAGGTGTTACAACGATAATTAGACAAATGGAGGTTTCACAGAAGGAAAAGGGAGGTAATGAACATGAAATAGATGAATTATTATCAAGGTTATGTCCCTTACTAACATTCTATAATACTAATCCTATGAGAAGTTTTCTGTTACATTTGTGATACAAACAGTAACAAGTTCCTGGTACAAGTGAACCAAGTTTTACTCATTCATTCTAAGAGCCACATCTGATTGCTAAACTCCTGCTAAATTTGGAAGGGGTATTCCAAATGTGGACACAATGTTATGATTAGTCAGTTGACAACCTGGTCAGGGTTGACTTGATGACAACCTGGGTGAGGGTTGACTTGATGGATATCTGGATGCTGTGTGTACTACTGTTAGTTGTATTAACCATCAAAATGTTACATTTTATATCACAAAGTCATGATTATATCACACACATTTTAAAATATATTAAAATTAATTAGAATCTAATGAAGAGATTTCTTCCTTTTCATAAGAAGTGTTATTATAATAAACATTTTCAACAGGACTGATATAAGCTTCATCTTCTTCATCAGAATTGCTTTCAGTAGCTACAAAAACAGGTCGATATGAGGTGGTGTTTGGTGTTGATGGTGCTAGTGCTGGTATGGTAGTCGTTGCACCACCAAACAAAGACGCTGTGGTGGTGGTTAGTGTTGATGTTGTTATGGTAGTAGTTGCACTACCAAAAAGTGATGATGTGGTGGTGTATAATGTTGATGGTGTTGGTATAGTTGTAGTTGCACTACCAAACAATGATGTGGTGCTGTATAATGTTGATGGTGTTGGTATAGTTGTAGTTACACTACCAAACAGTGATGATGTGGTGCTGTATAATGTTGATGGTGTTGGTATAGTTGTAGTTACACTACCAAACAGTGATGATGAGGTACTGTATAATGTTGATGGTGTTGGTATAGTTGTAGTTACACTACCAAACAGTGATGATGTGGTGGTGTATAATGTTGATGGTGTTGGTATAGTTGTAGTTGCACTACCAAAAAGTGATGATGTGGTGCTGTATAATGTTGATGGTGTTGGTGTAATTGTAGTTACACTACCAAACAATGGTGATGTGGTGCTGTATAATGTTGATGGTGTTGTAGTTGCACTACCAAACAGTGATGATTTGGTGCTGTATAATGTTGATGGTGTTGGTATAGTTGTAGTTGCACTACCAAACAATGGTGATGTGGTGGTGTATAATGTTGATGGTGTTGGTATAGTTGTAGTTGCACTACCAAACAATGGTGATGTGGTGCTGTATAATGTTGATGGTGTTGTAGTTGCACTACCAAACAGTGATGATTTGGTGCTGTATAATGTTGATGGTGTTGGTATAGTTGTAGTTGCACTACCAAACAATGGTGATGTGGTGGTGTATAATGTTGATGGTGTTGGTATAGTTGTAGTTGCACTACCAAACAATGGTGATGTGGTGCTGTATAATGTTGATGGTGTTGTAGTTGCACTACCAAACAGTGATGATTTGGTGCTGTATAATGTTGATGGTGTTGGTATAGTTGTAGTTGCACTACCAAACAATGGTGATGTGGTGGTGTATAATGTTGATGGTATTGGTATAGTTGTAGTTGCACTACCAAACAATGGTGATGTGGTGCTGTATAATGTTGATGGTGTTGGTGTAGTTGTAGTTACACTACCAAACAGTGATGATGTGGTGCTGTATAATGTTGATGGTGTTGTAGTTGCACTACCAAACAATGGTGATGTGGTGCTGTATAATGTTGATGGTGTTGGTGTAGTTACACTACCAAACAGTGATGATGTGGTGGTGTATAATGTTGATGGTGTAGTTGTAGTTACACTACCAAACAGTGATGATGTGGTTGTGTATAATGTTGATGGTGTTGGTGTAGTTGTAGTTACACTACCAAACAGTGATGATGTTGTACTGTATAATGTTGATGGTGTTGGTGTAGTTGTAGTTACACTACCAAACAATGATGATGTGGTGGTGTATAATGTTGATAATGATGATGTGTTGAATTTTGATGGTGTTGTTATGGTAGTAGTTGTACTGCCAAATGCTGCTGATGTGTTTAATGTTGGTGCTGGTATGTTAGTAGTTGCACTATTAAACAAAAATGATGGTGTTGTTTTGGTAGTAGTTGAAATACCAAAAAATGATGATGTTTTTAATGTTGATGGCACTGGTATGGTAGTTGTTGCACTATTAAATGAAAATGATGGTGTTGTTATGGTAGTAGTTGCACTATTAAATGAAAATGATGGTGTTGTTTTGGTAGTAGTTGCACTATTAAATGAAAATGATGGTGTTGTTTTGGTAGTAGTTGCACTATTAAATGAAAATGATGGTGTTGTTTTGGTAGTAGTTGCACTATTAAAAGAAAATGATGGTGTTGTTATGGTAGTAGTTGCACTATTAAATGAAAATGATGGTGTTGTTTTGGTAGTAGTTGCACTATTAAATGAAAATGATGGTGTTGTTTTGGTAGTAGTTGCACTATTAAATGAAAATGATGGTGTTGTTATGGTAGTAGTTGCACTATTAAATGAAAATGATGGTGTTGTTTTGGTAGTAGTTGCACTATTAAATGAAAATGATGGTGTTGTTTTGGTAGTAGTTGCACTATTAAATGAAAATGATGGTGTTGTTTTGGTAGTAGTTGCACTATTAAAAGAAAATGATGGTGTTGTTATGGTAGTAGTTGCACCACCAAACAATGTTGATGATGTGATGTTTTGTGATGCAAGCTTTACTACACTAAAAGCTGGAGCCTCTGTTGTTGTGTTTGTTAAAGGGCTTGACCATCTGGCTAGGGAGTGACCCGATGTGGCTTGGGTGTGACGACATGTCGCTGTAGAGAGGTGTGTTCCACGACGTACTGTGGAGAGTCCCCTTGTGGCTGGGGAGTGTCCACTTGACACAGAGCTGACCAGAAGAGGACTTGACCATTATGTTACGGTGCTGCTTGAAGCTGGTGCTGTCTGAGAATTCACTTCCTGGGATGGATCTGCTCCAGGATGTGATGATGTAGGACCAGCCACGCCCCTGGTTGTGGAAATAGAATCTCCTGGTGCAGGTGAAGCAGAACTATGACGGTGACCATGACTGGGTGGTAGTGTGGAATGTGTCATGGTTGTGGGCTGGTTGCCACATGAAGACTTTGTTGGTTGCTTATTTGTAGTTTTCTCAATCTTGTCCTTAAAGGCTAGAGATCCACTGCCTAAAAAAGTTGAATTTAACAAAGTAGACAATTAATTATATTTCATAATATACAAAGACTTTCATATTCGATGATGAAAATTCTCTGAGTACTATCATTAAAATAAATGATTAGATCAATTACCAAATGTTAAGTACAACTATCATTATCAACTCCAGCAGTAAGAAAACTAAAATTCTGTTCAATACCTAAAAGTAGTCATGTTTACAGTCTAAATATAGATTTTTTTAAAAACAAAACCAAAATTCTGTTCAATACCTAAAAGTAGCAATGTTTACAGTCTAAATATAGATTTTTAAAACAAAGCGATTTTAAAAACTGAATAATTTCTTGATGTATCTGAACAAAACCTAACAGCGTGGATCAAACGGATTTATTGACAGGTGAGATCATAAAACACAAGATGTCACCCCTCACAAGCTTTGACTGGTGGCTTCAGAAAAACTCAATATAAATATTTACGTCGGAGGACATTTGTAACGTAGGAGGAGAATTTTAAACCTACGAAAAAAAACAAGAAAAATTAAAAGGACACTTACCTTTCAATTTGGCAACTTTGATGCGTAAAAAGTTCACCTGAACAAACAGTTGAAATATAGGTAAGTAGGTTATGCGAGTCAAATGTTTCCTACATTAAAATAATCATAGGAAGAACATATATGCCACTTTATGGCTTACAATCAATGCTTTGACTGTAAAGATTTGAAGTGTTTAACTTAAACTTTAAGTAAAGTCCGAAGATTTTCCACTTGTTTTAGTGTGATCTACAAAACAATTTGACAATATCCATTTCTTTTACATTTGGGTCAGGACAGTTTTTTTATGGGGGATTTAAAACTTGAGCCCTTACTGTTGAGTGGCAGTTCATTTGTTTCAAACTCTAGTACTACAGTTGTATGTTATTTTATACGTGTGCTTTTGTTTCAGACTCTAGTACTAGAGTTTTGTTATATTGTACGCATGCATTTTCTAGCAGGCCAAAAAATAGTTCTAGAAGGTTGGGATACGTTGGAACAATGTCCTTAAATTTTTAACAAACTATTATTTTCCATATAGGGTTAATTATTTAAATTTATATCAATTTTACATTTTTTACAAACTATGTTTACATTTACAAATGTATATACAAACATATTATATTCATTTATCTTAAGTATTTCTGATCTGTTAAGTTACCAAGTAGTAATCAGTTTTACTGTAAAATCATTATATTAACATAAATGATCACTCACTTGCTTGTTGAGATTTGCTTTAAAGTCTTTCAATTCTTCTTGCTGACTCAGCCATTTTACAAGCATGGCAAGCATGATTTCATACTGACAAGGAGAATAGTGTTGTTTTTGGTAATCAGATAAGGGACATTTTAAATTGGTTTCATTGGTAATGAGACAAAGGACATTTTAAATTAGTTTCATTGGTAGTCAGTTAAGGGACATTTTAAATTGGTTTCATTGGTAATGAGACAAAGGACATTTTAAATTAGTTTCATTGGTAGTCAGTTAAGGGACATTTTAAATTGGTTTCATTGGTAATGAGACAAAGGACATTTTAAATTAGTTTCATTGGTAGTCAGTTAAGGGACATTTTTAATTGGTTTCATTGGTAATGAGACAAAGGACATTTTAAATTAGTTTCATTGGTAGTCAGTTAAGGGACATTTTAAATTAGTTTCATTGGTAGTCAGTTAAGGGACATTTTAAATTAGTTTCATTGGTAGTCAGTTAAGGGACATTTTAAATTAGTTTCATTGGTAGTCAGTTAAGGGACATTTTAAATTAGTTTCATTGGTAGTCAGTTAAGGGACATTTTAAATTAGTTTCATTGGTAGTCAGTTAAGGGACATTTTAAATTAGTTTCATTGGTAGTCAGTTAAGGGACATTTTAAATTAGTTTCATTGGTAGTCAGTTAAGGGACATTTTAAATTAGTTTCATTGGTAGTCAGTTAAGGGACATTTTAAATTGGTTTCATTGGTAGTCAGTTAAGGGACATTTTAAATTAGTTTCATTGGTAGTCAGTTAAGGGACATTTTAAATTGGTTTCATTGGTAGTCAGTTAAGGGACATTTTAAATTAGTTTCATTGGTAGTCAGTTAAGGGACATTTTTAATTGGTTTCATTGGTAGTCAGTTAAGGGACATTTTAAATTAGTTTCATTGGTAGTCAGTTAAGGGACATTTTAAATTAGTTTCATTGGTAGTCAGTTAAGGGACATTTTAAATTAGTTTCATTGGTAGTCAGTTAAGGGACATTTTAAATTAGTTTCATTGGTAGTCAGTTAAGGGACATTTTAAATTAGTTTCATTGGTAGTCAGTTAAGGGACATTTTAAATTAGTTTCATTGGTAGTCAGTTAAGGGACATTTTAAATTAGTTTCATTGGTAGTCAGTTAAGGGACATTTTAAATTAGTTTCATTGGTAGTCAGTTAAGGGACATTTTAAATTAGTTTCATTGGTAGTCAGTTAAGGGACATTTTAAATTAGTTTCATTGGTAGTCAGTTAAGGGACATTTTAAATTAGTTTCATTGGTAGTCAGTTAAGGGACATTTTAAATTGGTTTCATTGGTAGTCAGTTAAGGGACATTTTAAATTGGTTTCATTGGTAGTCAGTTAAGGGACATTTTAAATTAGTTTCATTGGTAGTCAGTTAAGGGACATTTTAAATTGGTTTCATTGGTAGTCAGTTAAGGGACATTTTAAATTGGTTTCATTGGTAGTCAGTTAAGGGACATTTTAAATTAGTTTCATTGGTAGTCAGTTAAGGGACATTTTAAATTGGTTTCATTGGTAGTCAGTTAAGGGACATTTTAAATTGGTTTCATTGGTAGTCAGTTAAGGGACATTTTAAATTGGTTTCATTGGTAGTCAGTTAAGGGACATTTTAAATTGGTTTCATTGGTAGTCAGTTAAGGGACATTTTAAATTGGTTTCATTGGTAGTCAGTTAAGGGACATTTTAAATTAGTTTCATTGGTAGTCAGTTAAGGGACATTTTAAATTAGTTTCATTGGTAGTCAGTTAAGGGACATTTTAAATTAGTTTCATTGGTAGTCAGTTAAGGGACATTTTAAATTGGTTTCATTGGTAGTCAGTTAAGGGACATTTTAAATTAGTTTCATTGGTAGTCAGTTAAGGGACATTTTAAATTAGTTTCATTGGTAGTCAGTTAAGGGACATTTTAAATTAGTTTCATTGGTAGTCAGTTAAGGGACATTTTAAATTAGTTTCATTGGTAGTCAGTTAAGGGACATTTTAAATTAGTTTCATTGGTAGTCAGTTAAGGGACATTTTAAATTAGTTTCATTGGTAGTCAGTTAAGGGACATTTTAAATTGGTTTCATTGGTAGTCAGTTAAGGGACATTTTAAATTAGTTTCATTGGTAGTCAGTTAAGGGACATTTTAAATTAGTTTCATTGGTAGTCAGTTAAGGGACATTTTAAATTGGTTTCATTGGTAGTCAGTTAAGGGACATTTTAAATTAGTTTCATTGGTAGTCAGTTAAGGGACATTTTAAATTGGTTTCATTGGTAGTCAGTTAAGGGACATTTTTAATTGGTTTCATTGGTAATGGGAGAAGGTTGTAAACATTTAATTGAAACCTTACAAACAGTATTGGCAACATTAGCGCAGGTTATGTATCCTACAATGAAATCCTCTACCACACATAGTGACAGTTGTTAACTAGAGTTAGTTGCCCATCTCCCATAAGCAAGTGGGCAATAATCCTATCCCTACCATTTTCATAATTAAACTATTATAAAGTAATCAGTAAAAAATAGAAGTTTGAAAAAATATGAAAATATGAAAATTCAAATCACCTTGACGCTGACATCTGTGATGGCAGAAAAAACATCAGCAGACGTGGGAATTGATTCTTCATCCAGCTTTACCTTGCTCCAGACGTACTTCAAGATTAGAAAATTAAATTCTAGTCATTTCAATATAAACTTCAAGAATTAACTTTTTAAGATTAGAAAATTAACGTCTAGTCATTACAATATAAACATTCAGGAATTGTTTTTTTTTAAGATTTTTTTAAATCAGTCAAAGATGGAAAGATTTTTTTTTTTAAATTATGTTTATGAACATTGACTACACACAACAGCCTAAGGTAGGATTAACTCAAGACATGAACATATAAAAACAGACATGAACATATACAACAAAAATGAACATAAAACAGACATGAACATATAAAATAGATATGAACATATACAACAGACATGAACATATAAAAAAGATATGAACATATAAAATAGATATGAACATATAAAATAGATATGAACATATACAACAGACATGAACATATAAAATAGATATGAACAAATACAACAAACCTGAACATATACAACAGACATGAACATACACAACAGACATTAGCATAAAACAGACATCAACATATAAAATAGACATAAACATATAAAACAGACTAAAATGAAGAAGATCCAACCTCAACTAGTTTAGACAATGACAAAACAGCGTAGTGTAATATGTAAATAATTCATTGAATTCCTTCATGAGCACTACTGCACCTACATTTGTTTTAAAGAGTGCCATACACTATGTATACAGTGGGCTGCTATAATCATGAAACAAATCAAACCAGATGTGGCTGGCAGTCAGGTGACCAAGAGCGCCCCATGGGGTGCCTACATTCATTTTAAAGAGCAACCTACATGAGTAACACAGTGTGCCACTAAATTCAAACAAAGCCAGGAGTCACGCCCGGCTTAGAGTTACCTTTCCCTTGAGAAAATCCAGCTGAAGCTCCACAACTTTTTTGTCTAATTCTTTCATTTGTTTTTGTAAAGTATCTTGTTCCAAGTTTTTTGAATTCTCATTGCTTGTTGACAAACCATTGGCCTGGGTTAAATCAAATTATTATTAAATTAAGGATCTGTTAAAATGTTGATTTTAAAAACAAAATGCTGTAGTGAATGTCTTTTTCCAAATAACCGTAAAAGAAGATTTAAATTATTCATTTAAACTTGGTTAATTTTTTTATAAGCTGAAAATGTCTATTATCATGGAGAGTGGTTTTATATAGCTGGACGTAACAGGGTAGAGGTTTTTCTGCACTGGGTTACACCATTTTGGGGATGACATCAAATTTTTTAAAAATCATTAAAAAAAAAATCAACAAAATTGTATCCACTAAAAAAGTAGAATAGTAAGGGATACACGTGAATGCAAACTGAAAATACAAAATGTTTTGAGGGGGCTGGGGTGACACCCTTAATTACCGGACCAATAAAAACCCAACCAAACAAAAACCACTGCCGCACAGCACATACAAAACAAATCACTATGTATCTCAGTTTGTTCACACAGACTTAAATTACAGAAGTGAATAGACTTAAAAAATAAAAGTTGACTTGAAAAAATTTCTTACATAAATACTGTCCACTTTCTGGTTAACCTCCTCAGTTTTTTTCATCAACATTCGTACTTTAGTTTTCTCATCTTCTAAAGAAACTATTCTTTTTTCCAATTCCTCCTTCACATCCAGTGTAAGCCTACTGGAGTCTAGAGACTGTTTTTTTCTTGTGCACAAATTTTCTTGCATTTCTTTCATGAATTTGTTTTGATTCATGGTTAGCTTTCTTATTTTTCCATCACAAGATTTTATTTTCTCGTTCATCTTTTCTTTATTTCTTTGCAATTTTTCCATCTTGCTCTTAAAATGTTCAAACTCTTGAATAAAGAACTCCTGCTCTGTAAAACCCCCAGCTGACTTGAGCTGTTCTTGTAACTGTTCACTCAACTCATCTATTCGGAGTCTGAGACTGGAGTTTTCTACCTCTAAATCTGACAATTTTTTACTAATTTCATCAATTTTGTCTGAATTGTCGGATTCATTATATCTAATATTAACAGCCGGTGGCATGGTTTTCAAATGTTGAACTTCGGATTCCAGAGCAGAATGATAGGCTACAACCTCTCTAAAGTGGGTTTTGACAATCAGGAATTGTTGCTCCATGTTTTCCGTTAACTGCTTAGTCCCCAGCTCTCCCTGCTTGAGTAAGTCCTCAACAGTGCCTGTGACTTTTTGCAGATTGGTTTTCAACTTTTTCATTTTCTTCTCAATCTTACAAAAACTTGAGCTTGCTTTGTCCTCCAGTGCAATTAATCTCAACATTAACTTGCGGTTTTCTACCGTCTGAGTTGCAATGTTTGGTTCAGTGCTGCTCTCCATTTTTGAAAGTTTAGTGTTAATATTATAATCTGTGCTGCTTTAATCTATAATCAATGATTGAAATAATCATAATGATTAAAAATTTATTTGCATCCACATAAACTATATCTAGTTATGACATTAGGTAAACTGTGACTGGTTATAAAAAAATGACAATGGTTATGTTAAAAAGTATGTTTAAAAAATGACTTAATGTTTATGTTAGTGTTAGGGGCAAAGCGCCCCCCCCCCCAAAGAAAGTCTACACCCCCCCGAAGAAAGTCTACCGCCCACCTGCCCCCCCCCCCCCTGAACGAAATGGTTTTATATAGAAAATATATACTTTAACAGTGTTCCCCCCCCCTCCCCGGAGAAAAAAGTCTGGAAGAAACACTGATCAACCCCCACCCCACAGACCACAAGCCAACCCCCACCCCACAGACCACGAGTCAACCCCCACCCCACAGACCACAAGCCAACCCCCATCCCACAAGTCCACCCCCACCCCACAGACCACGAGTCAACCCCCACCCCACAGACCACAAGCCAACCCCCATCCCACAAGTCCACCCCCACCCCACAGACCACAAGTCAACCCCCCCCCCACAGACCACAAGTCAATCCCCACCCCACAGACCACAAGTCAATCCCCACCCCACACGTTAACCCCCTCTCCACAGACCACAAGTCAACCCCCACCCCACAGACCACAAGTCAACCCCCACCCCACAGACCACAAGCCAACCCCCACCCCACAGACCACAAGCCAACCCCCACCCCACAGACCACAAGCCAACCCCCACCCCACAGACCACAAGCCAACCCCCACCCCACAAGAACACCAAAATGACAGCAATGTCGCACACATGTCAGTTAATGCTTTCAGTTTTTAAAATGTGTAGGCCTATGTCCTGAAACTACATTGTTCATTGTCCAGGTAAAATCAATATGCAACGTATAGATAATTGTACCTGTAGGCCTGTTTCTAAGAGCTGCTGTAAATTAGTTCCTGCCCACATAACCAATGAAGAAACAGCTGTGACATATGTATGTATTACTATGTATGCATCTCAATCAATTACAATAAAATTTAAAAAAAAATAAAGCTGTAGTATAGATCTAGATCTATTATTAATAGAACATTATTGAAGTTTGTACAGTCTCATTATAGTGCAATACACAACTACAATAAAAATGTTAGTAAATCATAAACAGAATAATTGGCCAGGCATTGTCAGAATCCCAAGATCAAGAAGGGAAACGGCAAAGTGTACTTAAATTATTCCATGTCTGGTGTTGTCTAGACATTTAAATATTTAAAAGCACGCCATTAAAAGCATATCATCAGCCACTAGGGTTGGGCACCAAGGGTTGGGTTTAAACTAACTAAGGTACCTTGAAAATACAGCTAATAATAATAATATTAGGCCTAATTTGAATTTGATAATAATTTTTTAGTTATTAAATTTAATTAGTAGGGCCTAAAACTATTAAATAATTAATAATTAAAGGTCTACTCTAAAGCTAAATTAAATAGATCTAGTACTAGATCTAGATTTCTAGATTTAGCTAAATTAAAAAAAAATAATTTTTAAATATTTAAAAAAAAAAAAGCTTGATTAGGATTGACACACCAGTGAATTATAACGCTTACATATAGATCTAGATCTATTATAATCTACTAGACTAGATCTAGTAATGCTACACAGTATAATAGTAAAATTTAAAATATTACTTGTTAATCGTCTGCGTTGACGGATAGATCTAGATCTAGATTAAACTAGAATCTAGATCTAGGATCTAGGAGTTCTAGATCACTAGACTAGATCTCTATCTAATCTATTTCGAATTTGTTTCAGTTTTTAGCATCATTTAACGATTCCAAGAAAAACTCGCTCTACGATTATATAGAGTATAGATCTAAGTGTACTGGTATCGCGGTAGCGATTTTAATTGTTTTTTTTTAAATCCTAAATTGTAGTAACTTCTTTTTAAAATGTTAGGCCCTACGTTTAATTAATATGATTCTATATTTATAATAAACACGTTACTTCTAACATAACTTAGATATAGATCTATGTCTTTTTTACAATTAAAAATTGAGTTGGTTACGAATTTGAAGATCGATACCAGCGTAAGTGAAACAAGCGCTGAACAGGCAATTTCAAAGAAAACTGAATTAGTAGTTAATTATAATTATAAGGTTGAATCTGCAAATTATAGCATATGACATATATACATAAAATGAGTAAAACTATAAGCGTATGATGCAGTGTTTCTTCCCGATTTTTTTCTCCGGGAGGAAGGGGGGAAGGCACCTGATATTTTTCGGGGGGGGGGGGGGGGGGCTAAATTTTCAGGGGGAAGGGGGGGGGCACTATCAAAAGTTTATATAGGCCTAATCTATATAAATTCCATTTCGTTCGGAGAGGGCGGTGTCAGGGGCGGAACTACCATACCGCCAGACCCCGCAATGTGGGAGGCCCAGGCCGTTTAGGGGCCCAAAATCCAACCAAAAAGCAATGACTTTGTATTCCAAAATTACGTTTTCGTGCACCTTAATTATGGTTTTGTAAAAAAAAAAAACTACTACTGTAGTGATGTTCTACAGTAGCTAACACACGCTGTTGCGTAAAAGAAAAAAAAAATCTACATAAGCTTTAGTGTGCAAGATAAACAAACATTCAAACCACTTCCATGACTTATTTCCCTTCTTAAATAGTCAAATAGAAGTGCCCATAAACTCCTTTTAATGGTTTTGTACTACGCAAATTGAAAAGCAATTACTTCTCTTAATTATAATTTTTTTATAAAATACATACTAAAGAATGAAATAGTATAAAAAGGAATTTTTAAAAAAAATTAATATAAATTAAAAAAAACACCTAAAAATAAACATAACACGAGAAACCATTACACAAACAAAGCTTTCATGTTTCATATACTTTTGACCGGCTTGCGAATGGGAAGCTATACAGCCGACATCACAAGTGACACACAGATTTGCAAAACAGACTAATGCACTTAAACACATGACATGTTGTTGTAATTTGTTAGAATTGAACATAAAAGTATTATGTTTTTTTTTAAAACAATGTGTTTTTTAAAAACTAGATTAGGCCCGAAATGAGTATAATACGTTCGTATTTTGTGTTTACCCAGCTAACACAGTATGTAATACCAGGGTTGGCCCAAGATTGGGCCTATCTGGTTATCATGGCCATACATTGGACAAGCTTAGGCCAGGGTACAGCCAAGATTTGTACATGCTTGCATCCCTTGATACCTTGATATTTAAGCGTTTTTACCCTGGCTGCCAAGATTACACTGATTTATGTATTCACTGCAGAAATTTTAGTTAAATATGCTTGTTAAACTTAATATATGTTAACTAAAATAAGTTATCTTTTAATATCATGCTCTAATTTAAACATAGTATTAATAACAAACTACGTTGCATGTGTTAAACATTTTGTTAAACTTTTTAAAAGTGTGTGCGCTACTGCCGCCGGCCCCTCTCGCCCATTGTCCCTTTGTTCACATTTCTTCACATTCCTTCCTATTGTTCGCAAGCCAGCATACCCGTCCTTCGCCATTTTTCTTAACAAAAGACTTTGTTTCCAGTCACAGTAAAACAGGTAGGCCTACTGCAGCCATTTTAGTTCAACAGTGAGAAGTAGTATAACTTTATTTATGCAGAATCTGGAAAACTCGTATTTTTTTGTTGGAAACTTTATGTCATTAAATAAAAGGTAGTTTATTTGAGGTAATAAATGAGCCTAGATCTATTGAATATAGATCTAGATTTAGATCTATAGAGATCATTATATTAATAATACTAGATCTAGATCTAGTTAGTAGATAGTAGATAGATCTAGAATCTAGATCTAGAATCTATCTACACTAGATCTAATCTAGATTAGATTCTAATACTAAATAACTAAAAATCGTAATCAGAGGGCTGTTAATTTTGACAGCGTTTTTTGAGTATTGAAAAGTATGCAAGTATGATTAGTATGTTTGGGATTATATTGAATATTGATATATGATTATTTTTTATATGTATTTATTGGTTTTCAACTTTAGGGGGGGGGGTCTTAAATGTTAATAAATTAACAAATAATCATTCACTTTAACTTAAAAAAAAACAACTTAATTTTATTGTAGTAGTAGGCCTATTCGTGTAAGAGTGTAAGGATTTGAAACTGTCTATAATATTAATTCAGAGAGAGGAAAAGTAGACACAATTATAGAACAAATTTCTACATGTTAAACAAACAGTGTATTTTTTATAATTATCAATTTTGAAAAAAAATTAACTTAGTCAACTAGAATTCTAAATTGATTCAAGATTGGCATTCAAATTCCTATTACTGTTACAGCTTCCTATGGGAGAATAAGATGTAAGATGTGTAAATAGTAGTGTGGAGACCTCAGAGCAACACTTAATTTCATGACCAACAGTGATAAGGTAGTTAGTAAGCCCTACTTATTGATCAACACTACTCATATAATCATATAGAGGACAGAGTAGGCAAATGGTTGAGGACACTATTGCTAAACATAAAATCAAGTTAGTAGTACATTCATTTGTTCACCTAACTCTGATATATACACGATTTAAGACTATGAAATAAAAAGGTGGCTAGATATAGTGCTGACTACACAATCCTTTATATACAGAGATCAAATAAACAGAGATACTGTACATACCTTGTCCTATTGGCACACGCTAGAAAGGGAACTTGACATTTTTAGACATTCTTATGATACTTATGTACTATAAAATGATAGTATCATATTTGGAGTTTTGTGTAGGATTAGGCTTGGGTTTGATGTATTGTCCACAATTAGTACCTTGTTATTAATAGTCTTAAAAATGGAGTATCTAATTTGGCTATCATTTATTGTATTACTCACTCATTTTATTATTATATTTAATAACAAAGAATGCCATTTATTTTCAGGCCTCCAGGTGTTGTGTGTATCAATCAGCCCACTGGAGATATATCAATCTTTTAATAAATTATAAGGTCCCCACTGCTTGATACTTCACCAGAAGATTACTAAATGTTGTTAACACTTCATAACTGTAAGTGAATAATAATATTCATTTAGTAATTTTTGCTTGCATTTGATGATCAGCATGTGTAGTTAATGCCTTTACTGATATTAGTAAAATAATTTCAGACCACAAGCATTACTTCTAGGTCACTCTGAAGGGTCCAATCGTTCAATTACTGAAATGATAAAGTTGATGAAATTGCTTAAAAGTTGTCTGGCACCTTCTTAACTCAGAGACATAGGGTAAGGGGTTTATAATATTTATATACATACTATTTTTTTATTACAAGGTCTTTTTTTTTTCACTTTTGTTTATAAAAAAATATATATAGGCCTATAACACAGGTAACTATAAATAAATAAATAAAAATAAATATATATATATATATATATATATATATATATATATATATATATATATATATATATATATATATATATATATATATATGCAGCAAGGAACTGCAGTTCTACTATTAAAATTATATATGGCCACTTTTTATTATTTACCTGGGTAGCATGAACACCCCAGACCACCAGTCTTTATACCTATATATAATATCTTGTTACAAGGTAGCAAACATGATGTTAGGGGCTTCTTGTTGTATGTTTAGTGCAGTGCAAAATAAAATAAACATAACAAATTTAGTGCAAAAACAGCAGTGTATAGTTGTAATTATTTCATAAATGACTTTTAGTGTGTAACTTTTCTTTTTTAGAATGTGGATGGATTATGACATACCTTGCACAAATCAACAACCAGGCTTTTATTGGATTTGAATCCCAAAGGAAAGAGAAAGTTTGTTATCCAAAACAAACATGGAAAATATCAGAAACCAACAAAGCACAAGCAGGCAGAATGTCATGGACCCAACTTTGGGGAATCTTCCAAAACCAAGTTTAAAAATAGAGGTGTGGTTGTGTCTCTCAGCTCCACAAGGGTCCACAAGAATGAGGACAACAGTGATTTTTGTAATAATTTTAGATCAGATTTTCAATTTTTTTTTGATCAGTTGGATCAGGTTAACAGTTTGATACATATTGCATTTTAGTACTTAACGAGAAGAAAAGATTCTCTTAGTCTAAGAAAAATGCTGATTTGTAAATTAATAAATTGTTTCCTTTTGTAATAATATAATAATTTAAGTTTGCATTGTATGTATTTTTAGTGTAGATTTAGTGCCCTAAATGAAATGCAATATACAATTTACATTTTTTTCTTTAAAGAATTAGTTGCAAATTTCTTTCATAATTTTGTTTCACTGTACAATCTGAAAAAAGTTTGCTACATTTGTATTGACGATACTTCTGCTGGTGATATTTATTTCTAATTAATAAAGTAAATTAATATATATTCAGTTTACTATAATTAAATACCTCACACTCGAGGCAAAAAAACATATTTATTGAATATGGCAGTTATATTCCTGTTCTACACAATGCATATAAACCCTCAAACCATCGGTCTTTTGAAAAATTGTACATTTTGTATACACAATGGCATTCATTTTAACACTATTTAACCACAACTATAATCTAGAGATCCTGAACATATTTTCGTTCTGTTATTTATGTACAATGTACAAGGCAGATTAGTCCAGCATTAAACTGTAATCTACCTTAATTAGAATACTTAGAATATACAAGCTATGCAATTAAATGTTGTTAGACAAATATTTTATACTTTTTATTCTTAATGTTATGTGTACGTATCATAGTACAAGACAGCTTCTGTATTCTTGTACAGTAAATTAAGTTTTTACATTAGTTTAATTTAAACTGTACTTAACATCTGTTACATTATATGAAAATGTTTTGTATATTTGTTTTCATTTGTTTGTATAAAAGTCAAAATGAAAGTTACTACACTATTATTTACATATTTGTTTTCAATCAATACTTTATAGTAAAGTTATAGTTTTCTTACATTTGAATGGATGGTATAATACAGATTTTAATAGATGAGCAGTTTTTGTGAATGTATTGCTGCTTTACTACATTTTGATTAAAATTTCTTTCACATTTTGAAATTAACTTTGTAAATATTATGACTGATATGAGAATTGATATTTTTGTATGCTGAAAATCAAAATTTAAGCCAAGATGTAGCCAGGATATAATACAGGCTGAGCCAAGGTATAGCCGAGATATAGCCATTATTGGGCCAAGATGTAGCCAGGATATAATACAGGATGAGCCAAGGTATAGCCAATATTGGGCCAAGATATAGCCATTATTGAGCCAAGATGTAGCCAATATTGGGCCAAGATGTAACCATGATATAGCCAATATTGGGCCAGGATATAGCCAATATTGGGCCAGAATATAGCCAATATTGGGCCAAGATATAGCCAATATTGGGCCAAGATGTAACCAAGATATAGCCTATGTAGGGCCAATATGTAGCCGGGATATAGCCAATATTTGGCCAAGATCTAGCCAATGTTGGGCCAATATGTAGCCGGGATATAGCCAATATTGTGCCAACATTGCGCCAACATCATGCCGAGTTTCACTACCAATGTTTGGCCAAGGTTAAGCCAATGTTGCACCAAGATGTAGCCAATATTGGTAACCAATGTTTAGCCAATATTGGGCCAATATATGTGTGCTGACTGGGTATATATATATATATATATATATATATATATATATATATATATATATATATATATATATATATATATATATATATAAATCTATATATATATATATATATATATTTATATATATAGGGGGGGCCTCAAAAAATATTTTGCGGGGTGGCCCCTTTTTTCTAGTTCCGCCACTGGGCGGTATACTTTCTACGGGGGGGGGGGGGGGGGGGTGGCTCTGCCCTCCCGAAGAGATGTCTGGAAGAAACTCTGGTATGATCGACTATTAATATTAGTATTAGCAGTGGCGTCGCTAAGCCGTGTGGGGTTTCACCCAGCCAGAGCCCCCCGGAGAAAGTCTACCGCCCCTCCCGAACGAGATGGATTTTATATAGTAAACATACACTTTTACTAGTGTCCGCCCCCCCCCCCCCCGAATAATGTTGACCACCCCCCCCCCTCGGAAATCGAAAGTTTGAGGGGGGGGGGGGGGTGCAAATCGAAAGTTTGTCCCCGGGTAAAAATTGGAACCCCCCTTGAGACGATCCTGGCTACGCCACTGTCTATAATACATTTGACTTAAGGGGCTAGCACATCGACACCAAAGCCAACCCTAACCCTAGATTTTTATTTGTAAAGCTTATTGGTTAATTAATTACTAATTATAAATTTGGCTTTCGGACACAACCAACAGGGGTGTCGCCAAAACGATAAATAGGCCTAGCTACGATTAATCAATTGGGCCTACTACATCTTTGCAGAGGCGTAGCGACCCTTCCCGGCGCCCGGGGAGAAACTTCTTGTTGATTTGCACCCCCCCCCTTTCAAGATTTCGATTTGCACCCCCCCCCCCTTCAAACTTTCGATTTGCACCCCCTCAACCTTTCAATTTATTTTTCCAACCCATTTTGGCGCCCCCTAAGGTCGGCGCCCGGGGACATATGTCCCCCCGCCCCCCCCCCCTCCCCCCCCCCCCCCCCTCGCTACGCTACTGCATCTTTGCTAATGTTTATGTGCTACATGGAGAAAACAGTTCGTCAAATTGCCTCTAGTTTTTTAGTCTTTGTAGGGGCGACACACTTAATAATGGCACAGCTTAGGGTCTATAATGAAGGACCAGGTACTTGATTCTATATAGACTAGATTCTAGGCCTAGATCTAGACTAGATCTTAAAACACTTGATTTGGGACGTGTCATACAGTTGTATGCTTGTGATTGGCAGAGTCATTTTTTAATCTCCAATGATGAAGATCGGATTATTTTGGTAGATCCAGGCCCAAACTAAAAGTAACATGAATGCCGAAACGGAAAGAATAAACACATACAAACTAAAAAGTAGGCAAACATGGTTCGATAAATTAGATCTAGATCTCTTGATCGATTCTAGAAACTAGAATCTAGTAAGTAAAGTAAGGGTAATCTAATAAATTAAATCTATCGTTTTAGAATTTAAAAAATTTAGGTGCGTAAAAAAAAAATTTACTGAAAATAAAAACTAAAATAAACCGGTAGTGATCTCCCCTAAACTTTCTCGAATATTCTTATATAAAACAACAGGGGATGGTAACTGGGGATATAGTTATGATTTTTAATCCATTTTAAATACTTAAACTTTTAAAAATAGAATAGAATCTCATAAAAAAAACATTGCGCACCAAGCAAACGCCGAATAAAAACGCGTATAATAGTGCGCAATATTATTAGTACTTTAAAAATTTACATTAGTTTTTTGAGAAATCGGAAGTAGCGTAAATTACTACTTCCAGTCAACGGAAATTACTCAAAATTTAACAGAAGGTAGAGAATTAGATCTTTTACTTACCTGTGAAATTTCATTTATCTATCTGAAATAGTACTCAAGTTATAGGCTTTTGAAAAATTCAAAGTAGGAAAAGTACCACTTCCGGTTATCGGAAATCGCTCAAAAGTTGATACGGATCTACGATTTTGATAAAATACTTATATATGAAATTTCATCAACCTAGCTGTAACGGTACTCAAGTTATCGTGTTTACACACGGACAGACACACAGACACACACACACACAGACATACGGACAAGATTGCAAAATTATGTTTTTCCGTATCAGTGAGGTGTAAAACGTCGAGATTTGTAAAAATCTCGATTTTTTTTTTTTGCACGATTACAATACTTTCTCTATACTACGTATATACGAGAAAGTAAAAATCATAGACTAGAGTAAAGTTCCACGCGCGGTTAAAACACCGGTGCGATCATCGCCTGTTTATCGCTTCGTACAATATTTGTTTTGATGTTTTATACGAAACTACCGATATCTGCTGTAAACCTGTCCATTTCTAAATATATCCAGGTCAAATTCTTTTGTTTTTCTCCTTCTGGAAGTCGAGTTTTTAAATTTTAAAGTTTCGAGGTATGACGTCGTAGGCGGTTCTAGTTCCCCCTATGAAAAACACTAGGTCCCGGATGAGATGAATAAAACCAACCCATCAAAGCTTTTTATAACTAGGTTAACTATAAATAGCTTCTACAATATATGCGGGACACTGTACATACGATAGATAAGGCTAATAAAGCAACCTGATAGGTAAATAGGGGTGGCCGCAGCTTGGGTGTCGATTACGGTGGTTTCACATCACTGCGTAACCAACGACTTGAGCTAGACTAGCCTAGTTCTAGATGCTCTATATTTCAAACTAAGCCTAGAATCTGTATACTTTCTATTTTTTTCTGCTGTTTTAAATTATTTCGATCATCTACTTCTTCTAAATCTAGTTTGTGTCTCTACATACAAGCATATCTAAGCAAATGTTACGTTATGTCTTTTAGTGGTTGTTACGTCCCTTTGTTATGATTATTATAGTTGCGTCCCTTGAGTCATCACTGGGTCAACTTTTAATGTCTTTAATTAATTTAATTAACATGTTTTTAATTATTATTTTTGCAATCTATTAATTAATAATACAATCAACAACACGTTTAAGTGTGTAAAATATTTATTTCAATTATTAAAATTGGATCAAAACGTATACAATACGCTCGTTGGCAAGCAGGTTCTTGCGTACGCAGGCAAAAAAAAAAGGGAAAAAAAATATCGCAAGGAGGGACGTCACTAAAACATGAATATCTTAAATACTATGCGTAGGAATACAAAATGACTCATACACATTACAGTAGAATGGCAGCGGAGTAATACAGTGCTTTCGGTTTGTTTCTGTGTGAAACGGTTATAAAATAGCGCCCGATGAAAATCGGGAATTTGGAATTTTCCGCTATGTGTGACCGCGCGTGGAACTTTACTCTAGTAAAATTAAAATGGTAATCTATCGTTTTGGGTACGTAAAATCGCCCGCGGCTATTAATGTACGAAAACGTTACCTCATTGTCAAGGCTGTAATAGAAGTATATTGTGATATGTTTGTGTCAAATATTATAGATAAATGAATAATAAACCTAAATCAATGGCTAAATAAAAAATATATCAATATTCAATATAGGCCCGAAATTAACTTTAAACAGCAGTGTCTGCAAGCAAGATTTGCTATATAAACAGCAGCCATTTGTAAAATAGAGTGACTTCCGCCTGAATCTTGCGCTATAAGTCTATAAAAATAAAACTTTAACAAGATGGCTGCTATAGTAAATGAGCATGGTTGCATCTGTTGGAAACATCGCTGGTGTTCATTTATTACTGAAAAGTTTTAATTCAATTGTTTAGAAACAGGTACATAAATGAAACAAGGAAACATTTTTGTATTTTTCAAAACATAAATGCGCCTCAAAATGTGAAATAATTATTAAAATGTAAGGAGTCACCTGTTTTTCACATTACTAGTTGCGGGCGATTTTACGTACCTAAAACGATAGATTACCAGTAAAATCGGCCTAGCTAAGCTAAGCTAAGCTTAAGCTAGGCTACATTAGTAGATCTAGATCTGAAAAATGAAAGTAATGTGAAAAAAAGTTGCCTCATTGTTAAGGCTTTAAAAGAAATAGGACTAGATTCTAGAATCTAGATCTTATATAATAATATATAGCAGGGGTCTCCAAACTACGGCCCGCGGGCCGGATGCGGCCCGCGAGGTCCTCTCATCCGGCCCGCGGAGATCCTTTTGTCCACGGAAAAAACATTTGTTAATTTGTTGGTGATGGCTGAGGAACTTTGCTCAGAAAAATCACGACATGCCTGGAAATACTGGCCTCTGAACTGAAATTTGATAGTTAATGCGGCCCTCGGACTGAAAAGTTTGGAGACCCCTGATATATAGTATAGTTATTAGTATATACTATATAGTAGGCCATTCGATTCAACACTTCCGGGTTTGTCATTTTCGTGGCATCTCACGGCTCATGCGCTTACTAAAATGGCGACCAGTTTCACTTTCTCTAAACGGTAGAGGGATAAAACTATTGATTACGATGCCATCGTTAATTTTAGAAAACGGAACTATCCGTTTCTATTTCAGTCTGTTATTTAAGAATTCCCAGATGTACTTTTGACCTAATTTCTTTGTTTGTCTCGCAAGCGGCGCGTAAGTGAAAATAGCTCTATGTATTCTTGTCTTTTAAATCAAATAACTCTGAAATATCGCATTCCTTGGAACCCAGCCTATGTTACTTGAAAACTTTAAACTATTAATTTAACACACATTACAATTAACTGGGAATAATTTCTTGGGTTTATGAGATCTGTTCGTGGGAAAACGATCACCCCCAATAATGCCATTTTATTATAATCTTGTTTGGTGAAAACGAGGCGCGGGAAAATGTGTGCCGCGCAAGAATCCAATCATTTGGCTAGATTTATGACTGTTTTTTTATGTCACACCTAAAAATAGAATGTTTACGCTTTCTTCGTTGATGATCGTTTTTATTATTTTTTAAACTGAAAGTATGAATTATTAGTTAGATTGCAGATTTTGTAACTTGGTATACTTACCCTTTATCAATTTTAAAAGCATAGCATGGTAATTGTAAACAAATATAGTCATAAAACACAGAAATATAAAGTTCCAAGTGCGATGTGACACACCCGGGTCACACCCCTCAAGAAAACACGTGTTATTAAGCTGTTTATCTCACTTTACAACAGTAATTAAAATTAATTTTCAAATTTTTATCACTTATTGGGTAAGATAAAGCACATGTTTACTAAAAATAAAAAATAAAACAAAAGCAAATTCTGTTTTAATGAGGGTCACGGGTCAATTTTTTTTCCTTCTGTCAAGTTCAGTGGAGGGTGCCACAGGCTGACCTGACTTTGAAATTTTTTTCAGTAATAATGACTTTGCACAGAAAGTTAAAATATGCTAAATTAGCTTAGTTTACTTGTGTTCTAGCTATTATTGATACATTTTTAATAAAAAAAATCATTCTGTAATTCTCATCAAAAAGCCTACTATATAGGAGATAGATCTAGTAGGCCTATATTTTATATTGTGATATTTTATTTAGGCCTATGTCAAATTAAATATGATTTGATATGAACATGGTAAAACTAAAACTCCATTTTAGCTGTATTTTATTCCCAGCTTCACGTTCACCTCAGGTTGAGCGTATATTTTATTAGGCCTATGCTAATTATATAGGCCTACTAGATCAATATACAAAACCAAAACACACAAAAACGTTAGGAAACACACTTTCGGTTTGTTTCTGTCTGAAACTGTTACAATTCTCAAAATAGAACCAGATGAAAATCGGAGTTCTCAATTTTCCACTATGTGTAATCAATTGCGTAACTTTACTCTAGTACTTAGTCATGTAGATCTAGTAAGTAGTAGGCCCTAAGTAGTTTACTTTAGTTACAAGATCTAGATCTTGTTGTTGTTACTACTAGTACCTAGATCAGGGGTTCCCAACCTTTTTTTACTCTAGAGCACATTCTAAAATATCGGTTGGGTGGCGGGCACCACCTATTTTAAATCAACAAACTCCTTCCAGAGGCGTAGCGACCCTTCCCGTCACCCGGGGACAAAACTTTCGATTTGCACCCCCCTCTCAAATTTTCGATTTGCACCCCCCCCACACCCTCAAACTTTCGATTTCCATCCCCTTCAGCCTTTCAATAATGTTTATGAAAAAAATTCTGTTTCTGTCGAATAGTGAGAGGCGGGCACATAAGAATCGTTCGGCGGGCGCCATGGTGCCCGCGGGCACGGGGTTGGGAACCCCTGACCGAGATGGTAGATTCTAGTATAGCCTATAAGTTATAAATATAAGCCTAATACTAATAATAGATAGTATTTTACTATTTTGGGCCCTAGTATATGTATGATACTGACTAATAGTTAACGTGTTTATGTTATTGTGTAATAATGAGTTGGGTGACACCACAGCCCACTGAGAGCCTATCCTGCTTCCTGACTTTATTAATTACTACTAGATTTTACTTAGGCTATATTAGATGATAGACTAAATCTATTTTCTACTTTAGTTTAGTTTGAAACTTAGTAAGACAGTAAGTACTAGATTTACTATTAGTGGGCCTACTATAACTTTAAGGCTTAAATAATGGAGAATTATTAATAATGATACATATTACATGCAGTTGTCAGTCAATGGACTCCTCAAAATAGGTATGTTAGGTTGTTAGCAGGGGCGGAACTACAGTGCCGCCAGACCCCGCAATGCGGGGGGGCCCAGACCAATTGGGGGCCCAAAAATCCTGGCTAAATTATTTAAAAAAAAAAAAAAATAAATTAGGTGGAGGTCGAGTTATCTTTCTTCTACAGTTACAAACAAACACGATAGTCGGCAAACGTCTTTGAGAAAAATGCACTGACTATAGCTCGAGAGACCGCCAGACATATAGACAACTTCAAAGACGAAGCATCTGCCGGTACGCTTTGAAATCGGGCTGGTGAAATGTTGCGGCGAGGCGACTATCCTGGTCTTCTAGACGATCGGAAAAAGTCGGCACTATTGATGTAGATGTTTATCGGCGCTTTCTTGTCCCCTTCCCTTCCCAACTCTCTCCCCCCCCCTCCCCCCTACCCCTCACTTCTACCCCTCACCACACCCTTACTCTTACAATAAGATGTAATGCATAGATTAACGAACCGTCTATGAACTGTAAACTGACCACTTCTGCACATTTTGTTAAAGACACTAGTCAGTAGTTGTTCATTTACCTGATGAACAGGGGCGGAACTACAGTCCCGCCAGACCCCGCAATGCGCGGGGGGGGGGGGGGGGAGGCCGTTTAGGGGCCCACGGCTGACCAAATTTTTTTTTTTTTTAAATTTTGAATTTAATTTTTGCCTTAATATTTGGTTTGTAAGAGAAAAACACTGTAGCTGCGGTACGATTATCTTTATTTTACAGTCACTATACCACGCTCTTCCGCAAAAGATAAAATCCATTACACAAACTACAGTGTAAAATTTAATGTGATTTTTGTGCACGATTACAAGACTTTCTCTATACTTCGTATATACGAGAAAGTAAAAACATTGTTATATTGTTTACATTATTAAAACACATATCTATGATTATGTGTTTAAACTACTGGCCTGAATTCTACAAAAAATATAATTATTTATTTCGATCTCATACATTTATAATTGCGTTCATTTTTACTTTAACAACTGTATCAATAAACTTGTAAAAGTATAAGTTATTTCCCTTCAGCGAAGCATTTGAAATTTGACTTTGCCGGCACGCTTTGAAATCGGGCTGGGGAAATGTTGCGGCGACCGGCGAGTCGGTGACTATCCTGGTCCTCTAGACGACCGGATAAAGTCGGCACTATTGATGTAGATGTTTATCGGCACTTTCTTGTCCCCTTCCAATGAACCTTCCCAACTCTCTCCTCTCCCCTACCCCTCACCTCTACCCCTCACCACACCCTTACTCTTACAGTAAGATGTAATGCGTAGATTAACAAACCGTCTATGAACTACTGTACTGTACCACGCTCTTCCGCAAAAGATAAAATCCATTACATTACTCTTCAAATTTTGAATGACTTCTTTGACTCGTTGCCCCCCCCCCCCCTCCCTTTGATAGCTAAATAGAGGACACGTAACTGTTTGACCGATCCTCCAAAGTATACTGTGTCGGATGGGGCAGGGGATGGGGACCAAAAAGGGGGTTAAAAAATTGTCGACAAATTCTTTACATATTTAAAACAGTTATTTATAGTTGTATTTTTTAACCATCGTCAAGGCCGAGTTCTATTTCCCTACAATCAAACACACACTGTCGCCGGCAAAATTCTTTAAAAAAAAAACAACAAAGTCCATAGCACGAAAAGCCGCTACATATGAAGTGGGCTTTCAATACTATCATGATGCGCGGTGCTTATTCGCGGCATTGGTAGGGGACCCGAAATCCATTGTACATTTTTCAATGTTAATATATGTTTGTGATAGTGGTTGAATTTGTATCCTGTACTATCTTGTATCGTACAAATAATTTAAAAAAAATAATATAATACTAGAAACTTCAGTTTTATATACGTTTACTTGTTTTTGATTTTACAAGAAATATAGTAAACTTTTAAGGCCTATACTTCAAATTATCTCCCCTGAGTAAGTTTTACAATGGGCGATGCTGACGTACATAGATCAAGGCGTTTTGTTGTCCCTTTCAAGTTTTTTTCCCGAGCCGACCCCTATCCCATCCCTCTTTCTCAACCTCACAAGTATCGAGGAGATAAATGTATCGTTTATGAACTACTTCCTAACCGTACGATTCACCACTTCAGCACATTTTGTCAGACACTAGACAGCACTAGATCTAGTCAACACATATTAATTTACTTTCATAGTATTAGGCAAATCTAATTCACAAAACAGGGCAGGTAAGATTATTTTTTATATAATTATTTAGAAATTAATTAGAACGTTTAGAATTAATTGAACATTATTAATAGTCATTGAGGTTGGGGTGTGTGAGGGTCTGGCTTTTTGTTAATCCCCCCCTTCCCTAAATCAGAAGGTTATCCAACGCGTGACCTGGCCACATACAGTTGTACATGTGAAAAACATTTTTCTCTCTAATATTATTATGCATTACTGCATCATTCACCCAATCGCCATGAAAACTTAGGAAGCTGTTGAGTACAGCCCCGCAAAGGTTTCTGTCATAGGCCTAACATTTGTACATATTTGAGTGGGGACTCCTAACGGAAATATGTGATTTAGCGCCCCGTGATACTGCATAAGTGGATGAGGTTACTACTTGAATACAATATATATATATATATAATATATATATGGGGGGCCCAAAAAAATTTTTTGCGGGGTGGCCCATTTTTTCTAGTTCCGCCACTGGTTGTTAGTAGTAGATAGTTGTTTTAGGTATGTTAGGTTGTTAGTAGTAGATAGTCATTTTAGGTATGTTAGGTTGTTAGTAGTAGATAGTTGTTTTAGGTATGTTAGGTTGTTAGTAGTAGATAGTTGTTTTAGGTATGTTAGGTTGTTAGTAGTAGATAGTTGTTTTAGGTATGTTAGGTTGTTAGTAGTAGATAGTTGTTTTAGGTATGTTAGGTTGTTAGTAGTAGATAGTTGTTTTAGGTATGTTAGGTTGTTAGTAGTAGATAGTTGTTTTAGGTATGTTAGGTTGTTAGTAGTAGATAGTTGTTTTAGGTATGTTAGGTTGTTAGTAGTAGATAGTTGTTTTAGGTATGTTAGGTTGTTAGTAGTAGATAGTTGTTTTAGGTATGTTAGGTTGTTAGTAGTAGATAGTTGTTTTAGGTATGTATTTTTGTTAGGTTGTTAGTAGTAGATAGTTGTTTTAGGTATGTTAGGTTGTTAGTAGTAGATAGTTGTAACATTGTAAATCCCTAGGCCCAAGCCCCTACCTAAGTCCTAAGCCAAATTTAATTACTATTAATTGGATGTGATTAAAATAAAAGAATTTAAATATGGGTGTGAAAACTGTCTATCTCTTGACACTGAATCTCACAGTTTACTAAAGCAGCACACTGGGCCTAGTATCTTACCATCTGGTGCTGAGATGACTGAAAATTTTACCACACCTAAGAATTTCTACATGCACAAGCTTGATGCCCATCTGCTTTCTAAATCTGCAGCCACCACTAGTAGATCTAGTAACCATCAACACTAATAAAATTTTAAGAAAATGAATCTGTATGCTGATTTTTACTGCACTCTAATTTAGTTTATCATTAAACATGTTGATGGTTGATCAAATTCTTCCTACTGTACCGAGTTTGAAAACCAGCTAGTTTAAAGTTGCTGTCGCTAACATATTTCAAGATATTTTTTGTAATGTTCTAGTAGCTGCCTATGATATTTGAGCAGCTTATAGTTATACATATCTGTTCTTTGAATTGCCAAACCAATTGCAAGATTTTCAAAAAAATACTTCCTGTACGAATTTCTACTTAATAATATTATACTAAAGCATTATATCATAACCAACAGTAGAGACAATAGTTCTGTTTGAATGTAATAACGTTATGCCCACAAAATAAACCATCTTGTGTTAAAAATAAAATGTGAAAATTCAATAGTTTAATTGCAGCTGCCACCCCAACTTCCATTCTAGGCTACAGCCTTTATCTAAACCATCCCTCCCATAATGATTAACTCAGGTGAAAACTTTTGTTCACACCCAGCCAACCTAGCGCAGGTGTTGTCAGCTTGATGGGATGGTGATCTGGTGCTAGTGGGATGTCAGCAACACAGGAATGCTGTGGAAATTCCGGCTCAAACCAACCAAATCAACTTTGTTCGTGCTGTTGGTGGTATTGTTGACAGTTGTGGTATGGAACTTCCTCACCTATCGCTCCTTCAACAGGAGACATTTTGATCAGGTCAGTAGTAGATTTTTCATGTCAGCTCCTTCAACAGGAGACATTTTGATCAGGTGAGTAGTAGATTTTTCATGTCAGCTCCTTCAACAGGAGACATTTTGATCAGGTGAGTAGTAGATTTTTCATGTCAGCTCCTTCAACAGGAGACATTTTGATCAGGTGAGTAGTAGATTTTTCATGTCATCTCCTTCAACAGGAGACATTTTGATCAAGTGAGTAGTAGATTTTTCATGTCATCTCCTTCAACAGGAGACATTTTGATCAGGTGAGTAGTAGATTTTTCATGTCAGCTCCTTCAACAGGAGACATTTTGATCAGGTGAGTAGTAGATTTTTCATGTCAGCTCCTTCAACAGGAGACATTTTGATCAGGTCAGTAGTAGATTTTTCATGTCAGCTCCTTCAACAGGAGACATTTTGATCAAGTGAGTAGTAGATTTTTCATGTCAGCTCCTTCAACAGGAGACATTTTGATCAGGTGAGTAGTAGATTTTTCATGTCAGCTCCTTCAACAGGAGACATTTTGATCAGGTGAGTAGTAGATTTTTCATGTCAGCTCCTTCAACAGGAGACATTTTGATCAGGTCAGTAGTAGATTTTTCATGTCAGCTCCTTCAACAGGAGACATTTTGATCAGGTGAGTAGTAGATTTTTCATGTCAGCTCCTTCAACAGGAGACATTTTGATCAGGTGAGTAGTAGATTTTTCATGTCAGCTCCTTCAACAGGAGACATTTTGATCAGGTGAGTAGTAGATTTTTCATGTCAGCTCCTTCAACAGGAGACATTTTGATCAGGTGAGTAGTAGATTTTTCATGTCAGCTCCTTCAACAGGAGACATTTTGATCAGGTGAGTAGTAGATTTTTCATGTCAGCTCCTTCAACAGGAGACATTTTGATCAGGTGAGTAGTAGATTTTTCATGTCAGCTCCTTCAACAGGAGACATTTTGATCAGGTGAGTAGTAGATTTTTCATGTCAGCTCCTTCAACAGGAGACATTTTGATCAGGTCAGTAGTAGATTTTTCATGTCAGCTCCTTCAACAGGAGACATTTTGATCAGGTCAGTAGTAGATTTTTCATGTCAGCTCCTTCAACAGGAGACATTTTGATCAAGTGAGTAGTAGATTTTTCATGTCAGCTCCTTCAACAGGAGACATTTTGATCAGGTGAGTAGTAGATTTTTCATGTCAGCTCCTTCAACAGGAGACATTTTGATCAGGTCAGTAGTAGATTTTTCATGTCAGCTCCTTCAACAGGAGACATTTTGATCAGGTGAGTAGTAGATTTTTCATGTCAGCTCCTTCAACAAGAGACATTTTGATCAGGTGAGTAGTAGATTTTTCATGTCAGCTCCTTCAACAGGAGACATTTTGATCAGGTGAGTAGTAGATTTTTCATGTCATCTTGTCAAAGGTTTGTTCGGCAAATGTTCAAAGCAATGAATTTAAGATCATTGGTTTTGTAAAGATGATAGATTGATTTATCCTGTTCAAATACTGACATTTTTATTTTTAGGGTTAACTTACCGTAAATCATTGTCTTTTTCTAAAAACAATGTGAAGTGAATTGTGTCTAGAGTTTATTATGAAAACATGTGCAGCCAAACCCAGAAGTCTTGTGTTGCCTTTTAAACAAAAGTGAAGCAACTCATATCATTGAGAATCTTTTATTTCCTGTTTAAACATTTTAAGCTAGGCTTAAAATTATTAAAACACCTTGTTTGAATAAAACACCAAAACAATTTAGACTTGCCAGTGTATAAACAAATACAACTTTAAGATTTGTAAACAAATACAACTTTAATATGTGTAAACAAATGTAACTTTAACATGTGTAAACAATTGCGATAAAATTCATGTACTTCCAGATTCGAGAAAAGGAAGCTTATTTCATCAGCAAATTATCACATTTGGAAAGAGATATAAAAGAGGAAGTGACTGCTAACGCAGAGCTCTTAGACAGGCTAAGAAAAGCAAGTTAGTGATCTACGCTTTTATTTTTTACTGTCAAATTTTAAAAGTTGTCAAGTTAGTGATCTATGCTTTTTTCTTCTTTTTCTATCAAATTTAAAAAATGTATCATGTTTTTACAAGCTTTTATTTAACTCACTTCCTCTGTCGTCAGTCCAGACGGAAACGCAGGAGTGAAAATTCGGACAGTTCTACTTGACCGATACGATTCACATTTGGCACGTGGGTCAAGACATGAAGACAATGCAATCTGAAACTAAATTTGACTTAATTGGATGCCTAATTGATTTTTAATGAATTAATTAAAATTTGGACCGAATTAGTAGGCATGTCTAGCCAACCACACCACACGCGTCATCACCTTCAATAGCTGCGCCATCACGTAATGGCTGCGTTCAAAAACCATTGCGCGCCTACTGAACGTGGTGATGTTCAGTAGGCGCGCAATGGTTTTTAGTCATGTAACTCTATTGTAAATAAAACATGTAAAGTACTGAAAAAAAATTCATAAAAAACGTTTTAATAACAAGCTTTTATGTAATGATGCACTAAAAAGTAGAAAATAAATTATAGACTACTATTTAAATAACTATAAAGAAAAGCGTGGGTGTCTTCCTTAACATTAGTAAAGGTATCCAATAGATACTAAAGTGACCCACGCTTTTCTTTATAGTTATTTAAATAGTAGTCTATAATTTATTTTCTACTTTTTAGTGCATCATTACATAAAAGCTTGTTATTAAAACGTTTTTTATGAATTTTTATACTACAGCAGTTTGTTTTTACTACAAAGTTTATTAATATCTGACATGTAACAAGCAGAAGAGTGATACAGTTTTTTTGTTTCAGACCCCTTCATCAACCTACCCAAAGGCAAGGAAGGAGTTTTTCCAGTTTTAGTGATAGCATGTAACCGTGTGTCAGTCAACAGAGCTTTAGACAAGTTGTTAGAGTAAGTTAGACAAGTTGTTAGAGTAAGTTAGACAAGTTGATAGAGTAAGTTAGACAAGTTGTTAGAGTAAGTTAGACAAGTTGTAGCAGTAATTTAGTCAAGTGCTCACAGTAAGTTAGACAATTTGTATGCTACAGCCAACTTTTTAGGTTAAATTCTGACCTAGACAAGGGTCACCATTGCAACATTGTACCATGAACTGATGGCAAGAAATAAAGTCATCTTGACCTTGACGTCATCTTGACCTTGACTTCTACAAATGGATGGTGTGGCCAGCACTATGGCCAGCCAGCCTTAGTCTCCCCAGCCTTAGGTATCCATCAGGACCCAGGGTAGTCTTGTAGTCCAGAGACTGTACTGACATCAGAGCTCCATACCTTTGGGGTAGCAGCCAAATGCTCTATAAATTGACCACACTGTCCTTTTTATGGCAAAAAGTTATCTTTATTTATAAATAACTAGAACTTTTAAAAATTTGTGGGCGTGTCATAATTGTCTTGCAGGTACAGAGTCAATGCTACCAAGTTCCCTATTGTGTCATAATTGTCTTGCAGGTACAGAGTCAATGCTACCAAGTTCCCTATTGTGTCATAATTGTCTTGCAGGTACAGAGTCAATGCTACCAAGTTCCCTATTGAGTCATAATTGTCTTGCAGGTACAGAGTCAATGCTACCAAGTTCCCTATTGTGGTTAGCCAGGATTGTGCTCATGAGGACACGGCTAAAGTTATACTGCAATATGTCACCTCTCACAATATTTCATTGGTCAAAGTAAGTGGTAGCTTAGTTACCTCACACATTTGTCAAAGTAAGTGCTTGCCTAGTTACCTCACTCATTTGTCAAAGTAAGTGGTAGCTTAGTTACCTCACTCATTTGTCAAAGTAAGTGGTAGCTTAGTTACCTCACACATTGGTCAAAGTAAGTGGTAGCTTAGTTACCTCACACATTTGTCAAAGTAAGTGCTTGCCTAGTTACCTCACTCATTTGTCAAAGTAAGTGCTTGCCTAGTTACCTCACTCATTTGTCAAAGTAAGTGCTTGCCTAGTTACCTCACTCATTTGTCAAAGTAAGTGCTTGCCTAGTTACCTCACTCATTTGTCAAAGTAAGTGGTAGCTTAGTTACCTCACACATTTGTCAAAGTAAGTGCTTGCCTAGTTACCTCACTCATTTGTCAAAGTAAGTGCTTGCCTAGTTACCTCACTCATTTGTCAAAGTAAGTGGTAGCTTAGTTACCTCACACATTTGTCAAAGTAAGTGGTAGCTTAGTTACCTCACTCATTTGTCAAAGTAAGTGCTTGCTTAGTTATTTCACACATTTTTTAAAGTAAGTGCTTACTTAGTTACCTCACACAACAATTGTCAAAGTAAGTGTAGTTGTTGCCCTAAGCAACAATATACCTCAGTGATTGATTCAAATTGTTGTTGTTGTTGCCCCTAGCAACCATATACCTCAGTGATTGTTTCAAATTGTTGTTGTTGTTGCCCCTAGCAACCATATACCTCAGTGATTGTTTCAAATTGTTGTTGTTGCTGCCCCTAGCAACCAGATACCTCAGTGATTGATTCAAATTGTTGTTGTTGTTGCCCCTAGCAACCAGATACCTCAGAGATTGCTGTTCCCAAGGCTCACAGTAAGCTGGTCAGCTACTACAAAGTGGCCAGACACTTCAGATGGGCCCTTGAGCTGATGTTTGTCCATCTGGATTTTAATGCAGTCATCATTGTTGAAGGCAGGTGTTTTCATGCATTTATTTTTTAATTAAAGTCAGCATCACCAGAACACTGACACTTTTATGACTTTTTCTGTGACATGTGCGGATGATATAGAAATAGTGCTAGACTTTTGTGAATATTTATCTTTTTCTGTGACATTTGCGGATGATATAGAAATAGTGCTAGACTTTTGTGAATATTTATCTTTTTCTGTGACTTTTGCGGATGATATAGAAATAGTGCTAGACTTTTGTGAATATTTATCTTTTTCTGTGACTTTTGCGGAAGATATAGAAATAGTGCCAGACTTAAATGAATATTTCTTTTTTTCCGTGACTTTTGCGGATGAAATAGAAATAGTGCTAGACTTTAATGAATATTTCTTTTTTTCCGTGACTTGTGCAGATGATATAGAAATAGCGCCAGATTTTTATGAATATTTCTCTGCCACCTACCCCCTCCTGCATGCGGATCCAAGCCTGTACTGCATTTCAGCCTGGAGTGACAACGGCATGGAGGGAAAGGTCTCTGGTGAACCAGGTCAGCATCTCATTGTACAATCTGGACATCTGACCATCTTTATACTCAATTTTGTTAGCTCTGACGTTACATCTGACCATCTTTATACTCAATTTTGTTAGCTCTGACGTTACATCTGACCATCTTTATACTCAATTTTGTTAGCTCTGATGTTACATCTGACCATCTTTATACTCAATTTTGTTAGCTCTGACGTTACATCTGACCATCTTTATACTCAATTTTGTTAGCTCTGACGTTACATCTGACCATCTTTATAGAACAGATTTTTTTTTAATTTTGTCATAACAGGCCGACTGTATAGAACAGATTTATATTTTGTTATAACAGGCCGACTGTATAGAACAGATTTATTTTTTGTTATAACAGGCCGACTGTATAGAACAGATTTATATTTTGTTATAACAGGCCGACTGTATAGAACAGATTTATTTTTTGTTATAACAGGCCGACTGTATAGAACAGATTTTTTTTTAATTTTGTCATAACAGGCCGACTGTATAGAACAGATTTATATTTTGTTATAACAGGCCGACTGTATAGAACAGATTTATATTTTGTTATAACAGGCCGACTGTATAGAACAGATTTATATTTTGTTATAACAGGCCGACTGTATAGAACAGATTTATTTTTTGTTATAACAGGCCGACTGTATAGAACAGATTTATATTTTGTTATAACAGGCCGACTGTATAGAACAGATTTATTTTTTGTTATAACAGGCCGACTGTATAGAACAGATTTATATTTTGTTATAACAGGCCGACTGTATAGAACAGATTTATTTTTTGTTATAACAGGCCGACTGTATAGAACAGATTTATATTTTGTTATAACAGGCCGACTGTATAGAACAGATTTATTTTTTGTTATAACAGGCCGACTGTATAGAACAGATTTATATTTTGTTATAACAGGCCAACTGTATAGAACAAATTTATTTTTTGTTATAACAGGCCGACTGTATAGAACAGATTTATATTTTGTTATAACAGGCAGACTGTATAGAACAAATTTATTTTTTGTTATAACAGGCCGACTGTATAGAACAGATTTTTTTTTAATTTTGTCATAACAGGCCGACTGTATAGAACAGATTTATTTTATTTTGTTATAACAGGCCGACTGTATAGAACAAATTTATTTTTTGTTATAACAGGCCGACTGTATAGAACAGATTTATATTTTGTTATAACAGGCCGACTGTATAGAACAGATTTATATTTTGTTATAACAGGCCGACTGTATAGAACAGATTTATTTTTGTTATAACAGGCCGACTGTATAGAACAGATTTATATTTTGTTATAACAGGCCGACTGTATAGAACAGATTTATTTTTTGTTATAACAGGCCGACTGTATAGAACAGATTTATATTTTGTTATAACAGGCCAACTGTATAGAACAGATTTATTTTTTGTTATAACAGGCCGACTGTATAGAACAGATTTATATTTTGTTATAACAGGCCAACTGTATAGAACAGATTTATATTTGTTATAACAGGCTGACTGTATAGAACAGATTTATTTTTGTTATAACAGGCCGACTGTATAGAACAGATTTATATTTTGTTATAACAGGCAGACTGTATAGAACAGATTTATTTTTGTTATAACAGGCAGACTGTATAGAACAGATTTATATTTTGTTATAACAGGCAGACTGTATAGAACAGATTTATATTTTGTTATAACAGGCCGACTGTATAGAACAGATTTTTATTTTGTTATAACAGGCCGACTGTATAGAACAGATTTATATTTTGTTATAACAGGCCGACTGTATAGAACAGATTTATTTTTGTTATAACAGGCAGACTGTGTAGAACAGATTTATTTTTGTTATAACAGGCAGACTGTGTAGAACAGATTTATATTTTGTTATAACAGGCAGACTGTATAGAACAGATTTATATTTTGTTATAACAGGCCAACTGTATAGAACAGATTTATATTTTGTTATAACAGGCAGACTGTGTAGAACAGATTTATTTTTGTTATAACAGGCAGACTGTATAGAACAGATTTATATTTTGTTATAACAGGCCAACTGTATAGAACAGATTTATATTTTGTTATAACAGGCAGACTGTATAGAACAGATTTATTTTTGTTATAACAGGCAGACTGTATAGAACAGATTCATATATTTTGTTATAACAGGCCAACTGTATAGAACAGATTTATATTTTGTTATAACAGGCAGACTGTATAGAACAGATTTATTTTTGTTATAACAGGCAGACTGTGTAGAACAGATTTATTTTTTGTTATAACAGGCCGACTGTATAGAACAGATTTATATTTTGTTATAACAGGCCAACTGTATAGAACAGATTTATATTTTGTTATAACAGGCCGACTGTATAGAACAGATTTTTTCCCTGGTCTTGGCTGGATGCTGGAGAAAAGTTTGTGGTTGGAACTGAGAGAAACCTGGCCGGCCACGTATGTATTGTAGTAGCCAGACATCTGTTATAGTCTTTTACTCAGGGCAGCCATCTGTTATAGGCTTTTACTCAGGGCAGCCATCTGTTATAGGACTGGCTCAGGGCAGCCATCTGTTATAGGCTTTTACTCAGGGCAGCCATCTGTTATAGGCTTTTACTCATGTCAGCCATCTGTTATAGGCTTTTACTCAGGGCAGCCATCTGTTATAGGCTTTTACTCAGGGCAGCCATCTGTTATAGGCTTTTACTCAGGGCAGCCATCTGTTATAGGCTTTTACTCAGGGCAGCCATCTGTTATAGGCTTTTACTCAGGGCAGCCATCTGTTATAGGCTTTTACTCAGGGCAGCCATCTGTTATAGGCTTTTACTCAGGGCAGCCATCTGTTATAGGCTTTTACTCAGGGCAGCCATCTGTTATAGGACTAGCTCAGGGCAGCCATCTGTTATAGGACTGGCTCAGGCAGCCATCTGTTATAGGCTTTTACTCAGGGCAGCCATCTGTTATAGGCTTTTACTCAGGGCAGCCATCTGTTATAGGACTGGCTCAGGCAGCCATCTGTTATAGGCTTTTACTCAGGGCAGCCATCTGTTATAGGCTTTTACTCAGGGCAGCCATCTGTTATAGGCTTTTACTCAGGGCAGCCATCTGTTATAGGACTGGCTCAGGGCAGCCATCTGTTATAGGCTTTTACTGGCTCAGGGTACCTTAGATCACACACACTAGAAGAGTTGGTTGTCTCTCACCTGACATTACCTCACACCTCTTGTCTCACCTGACATTACCTCACACCTCTTGTCTCACCTGACGTCACACCTCTTGTCTCAACTGACATTACCTCGCACCTCTTGTCTCACCTGACCTCACACCTCTTGTCTCACCTGACATGACCTCACACCTCTTGTCTCACCTGACCTCACACCTCTTGTCTCACCTGACCTCACACCTCTTGTCTCACCTGACCTCACACCTCTTGTCTCACCTGACCTCACACCTCTTGTCTCACCTGACATGACCTCACACCTCTTGTCTCACCTGACATTACCTCACACCTCTTGTCTCACCTGACCTCACACCTCTTGTCTCACCTGACCTCACACCTCTTGTCTCACCTGACCTCACACCTCTTGTCTCACCTGACATGACCTCACACCTCTTGTCTCACCTGACATGACCTCACACCTCTTGTCTCACCTGACCTCACACCTCCTGTCTCACCTGACCTCACACCTCTTGTCTCACCTGCAGGGATGTGACTTTTCCGAATTTTTGCGGAAATCCGATTTTTCCGTTTCAGTTGCGATTTTCCTCCGCTGATTTAATTTTCGCCGAATTTTTCCGCCGACTTCCAATTTTTGTCGATTTTTTACAAAGTTTTAAAAATTAGGAAAAAAAAAACGAAAATGTCTTCTACGGAAAGGGCCGACATGCTCATTCCACTTATTCGTATGTAAATTTAAATCGACAACTACTGTACTAAGGTCAAACGGACACTCGAATATGAGCATTTCTTTTTTATTGGTCGATTGCGCTAGGTTTGACGGTCCTAGATCAAGATTAAATGTAGATTAAGATTCGGAATTTCGGCGGACTTTCGAATTTTTCAATGCACTCTTTTTTAGTCCAAATTTTCCGCTGATATTTTCAGTTAACTATTAATCAAAAACACGGGAAAAGGTAATCTAAAATAATGCAGTTATTTAAATGAAACTTACATCTCTTAAGCCTGGTAATCTAGCTATCGATATAGCCTAATTTACCTATCGATATTTTAACCCGCCTAAACCTAGAGTTTCCCTCTGCTTCTATTTTATTTCGCAATCTCAAATTAATATTGCAATCCTTGTAAAAGGTGACTATGAGGACTCGACTAATCCGCCCCACCTCGTAGCAACGGTGGCTCTTGTGACCTCACCTTGACCCCAAGTACGTGTTCGGTACTGCTTGTGGGGAAAAAAATGACGTCACACCCAACTTCAAATAGCTGTTCCAGCAATACATATGCTTCGCTTCGTAGGCCTACAGATTAAAAAAAAAAATACTAAACTCAACGTGACTACGACCGTGTCGTGTTTGTGGAAGAAAAAATACGTTCAGACTGTTTTTAAATTTTTAATAAGGGGTCTTCCATAAATAACGTCACACTCGTAAGATAGTGTAACGTCATATTTTTGTATTTTAAAAAAGTAATGTTAGAAACAACTGCATTTTAGCCGCTATTAGAAAACTGTTGTAAAACATTGTAATAGAAATTGAATAAAATACCCTCTGTTGGTCGACCTCAGTCAATATTTTAGAAAAAAATCGATGCTTAAAAAAAAATTAATTTTGAGGAGGGGGGGGGGGGGAGCATTTGTTGGCTGAGGTGTAACTTCATTATAGGGGGGGGGGTCTGGCTTTTGTAGGAGAGAGGGGAGGTAAATATCGTCAAAAAAACGTGGATGACCCCTAACACTGACAATTTACATTTATTCCAAAAAAAACATAAATATCGATGTCGCTTGGCTATCAAAATGATTAACTTTGGTTCACACATCAGACCCTTTCTAATTTTAGCTAACCTGGTCCATTTCATTTTTCCATCACATGAACCTAAAATTTTCAAATTATAACTAATCTTAATCTAGGGTCTTTACAGTTGGAGACAAATATTTTTACCAATCCAATCTTTAAAATAATATATATTAGGCATTAGACCCCCTATTAAAAAATTGAAAACAGGAGTACATCTAGAATCTACATAGATTAGTACAGTTTAAATTAGCTTCATGGTAAAATAAAACTTAATTGCTACTTTTGTTACATTGTAGTTTTTAAAAAGTTGTTTATAAGGTAAACATTAAATTGCAATTAGACAAGACTTTCAATGTTATTTTAGAGTAACATAAACTTCTTGTATTTAAAATATTAACTTCATTAAACAATTAATTAGTACAATAACAGTATGAAGCTGCTTAACTGCGATAAAAAGTAGATAAAACATTGAGTTATTATCCAACATATTGAGTTATTATCCGAAGAAAATTTCCTAATTTTTTTTCCTGGTCTGGTCTCATCCCTGCACCTGACCTCACACCTGTTGTCTCACCTGACCTCACACCTCTTGTCTCACCTGACCTCACCCCTCTTGTCTCACCTGACCTCACCCCTCTTGTCTCACCTGACCTCACACCTCCTGTCCACAGGTTCTGGGATGATTGGCTTCGTGCTCCTGATCAACGCAAAGGGAGGCAATGTATTCGTCCTGAAATTAGCAGGACCAAAACTTTTGGCTCAAAGGGTGTCAGCAAGTAGGTTTTTTGAAGGGTGTCAGCAAGTAGGTTTTTTTAAAGGGTGTCAGCAAGTAGGTTTTTTAAAGGGTGTCAGCAAGTAGGTTTTTTTTTTAAAAGGGCTCAGCAAGTAGGTTTTTTTTAAAGGGTGTCAGCAAGTAGGTTTTTTTTAAAGGGTGTCAGCAAGTAGGTTTTTTTAAAAGGGTGTCAGCAAGTAGGTTTTTTTAAAGGGTGTCAGCAAGTAGGTTTTTTTAATGGGTGTCAGCAAGTAGGTTTTTTTAAAAGGGTGTCAGCAAGTAGGTTTTTTTTAAAGGGTGTCAGCAAGTAGGTTTTTTTAAAAGGGTGTCAGCAAGTAGGTTTTTTTAAAGGGTGTCAGCAAGTAGGTTTTTTTTAAAGGGTGTCAGCAAGTAGGTTTTTTTTTAAAACGGTGTCAGCAAGTAAGTTTTTTTAAAGGGTGTCAGCAAGTAGGTTTTTTTTTAAAACGGTGTCAGCAAGTAAGTTTTTTTTTTAAAAGGTTTCGACACAGTCCATGTTGACAGGGTCCATGATGACAGGGTCCATGATGACAGGGTCCATGTTGACAGGGTCCATGTTGACAGGGTCCATGTTGACAGGGTCCATGTTGACAGGGTCCATGTTGACAGGGTCCATGATGACAGGGTCCATGTTGACAGGGTCCATGTTGACAGGGTCCATGTTGACAGGGTCCATGTTGACAGGGTCCATGTTGACAGGGTCCATGATACAAAAACAAAACTGTGCACAAGCTTATGTCAACAGTGAAAATATTTTCTAAAGGCATGATATCCAAATGATGAGAACTGTGTTAGAGAACACTTAGACTTTAGACAGTTAAGGGTGGATAGGTGATACATTGATCTGACAGTGGAGAGGTGGAGGGGTGATATGGTAATCTGATAGTGATCTTGCAAGTCTGTTTTGACCAAGTGACCCTGTTTTGACCAAGTGACCCTGTTTTGACCAAGTGACCCTGTTTTGACCAAGTGACCCTGTTTTGACCAAGTGACCCTGTTTTGACCAAGTGACCCTGTTTTGACCAAGTGACCCTGTTTTTGATGTTTCAGTGGGGCCTACTACACCAAATACCTGCAGCATATCAAGCTGAACACGGAGTTTGTTCCCTTTACACTGCTCAACCTATCCTACCTAGAGCAGGTAATTTACTTGCTGTGTTTGTTTAGCCTGCTGACTTTAAGATGCTCACTGTAAACTGAGGTTAACCTGTGTTAGATACTCCATTTTTCAGACATTCATCATTTACTAGACAGTTTTCACACATTGATTTAGTTTAGAAATTAGCTTTGACCTAATGGGTCGAACAGACGGACACATTGTTTCAACATTTTTTACAATGAGGTAGATGTCTGTTGTACAGTGGAGAAATGAATAACTTAATGATGTGATGTGAGAAGTTTAACCTTGACATTTCTACTGTAGGTGGGAGAGCTAGCCTGACATTTCTACTGTAGGTGGGAGAGCTAGCCTGACATTTCTACTGTAGGTGGGAGAACTAGCCTGACATTTCTACTGTAGGTGGGAGAGCTAGCCTGACATTTCTACTGTAGGTGGGAGAGCTAGCCTGACATTTAGGTGGGAGAGCTAGCCTGACATTTACACTGTAGGTGGGAGAGCTAGCCTGACATTTAGGATGTAGGTGGGAGAGCTAGCCTGACATTTCTACTGTAGGTGGGAGAGCTAGCCTGACATTTCTACTGTAGGTGGGAGAACTAGCCTGACATTTAGGATGTAGGTGGGAGAGCTAGCCTGACATTTAGGATGTAGGTGGGAGAGCTAGCCTGACATTTAGGATGTAGGTGGGAGATCTAGCCTGACATTTCTACTGTAGGTGGGAGAGCTAGCCTGACATTTACACTGTAGGTGGGAGAGCTAGCCTGACATTTACACTGTAGGTGGGAGAGCTAGCCTGACATTTAGGCTGTAGGTGGGAGAGCTAGCCTGACATTTACACTGTAGGTGGGAGAGCTAGCCTGACATTTACACTGTAGGTGGGAGAGCTAGCCTGACATTTAGGATGTAGGTGGGAGAGCTAGCCTGACATTTACACTGTAGGTGGGAGAGCTAGCCTGACATTTACACTGTAGGTGGGAGAGCTAGTCTGACATTTACACTGTAGGTGGGAGAGCTAGCCTGACATTTCTACTGTAGGTGGGAGAGCTAGCCTGACATTTCTACTGTAGGTGGGAGAGCTAGCCTGACATTTCTACTGTAGGTGGGAGAGCTAGCCTGACATTTACACTGTAGGTGGGAGAGCTAGCCTGACATTTATACTAGGTGGGAGAGCTAGCCTGACATTTACACTGTAGGTGGGAGAGCTAGCCTGACATTTCTACTGTAGGTGGGAGAGCTAGCCTGACATTTACACTGTAGGTGGGAGAGCTAGCCTGACATTTAGGATGTAGGTGGGAGAGCTAGCCTGACATTTACACTGTAGGTGGGAGAGCTAGCCTGACATTTCTACTGTAGGTGGGAGAGCTAGCCTGACATTTCTACTGTAGGTGGGAGAGCTAGCCTGACATTTAGGTGGGAGAGCTAGCCTGACATTTCTACTGTAGGTGGGAGAGCTAGCCTGACATTTACACTGTAGGTGGGAGAGCTAGCCTGACATTTAGGATGTAGGTGGGAGAGCTAGCCTGACATTTCTACTGTAGGTGGGAGAGCTAGCCTGACATTTACACTGTAGGTGGGAGAGCTAGCCTGACATTTAGGATGTAGGTGGGAGAGCTAGCCTGACATTTACACTGTAGGTGGGAGAGCTAGCCTGACATTTAGGATGTAGGTGGGAGAGCTAGCCTGACATTTAGGATGTAGGTGGGAGAGCTAGCCTGACATTTACGCTGTTGGTGGGAGAGCTAGCCTGACATTTACACTGTAGGTGGGAGAGCTAGCCTGACATTTAGGATGTAGGTGGGAGAGCTAGCCTGACATTTACACTGTAGGTGGGAGAGCTAGCCTGACAGTTAGGATGTAGGTGGGAGAGCTAGCCTGACATTTAGGATGTAGGTGGGAGAGCTAGCCTGACATTTAGGCTGTAGGTGGGAGAGCTAGCCTGACATTTCTACTGTAGGTGGGAGAGCTAGCCTGACATTTCTACTGTAGGTGGGAGAGCTAGCCTGACATTTACACTGTAGGTGGGAGAGCTAGCCTGACATTTAGGATGTAGGTGGGAGAGCTAGCCTGACATTTAGGATGTAGGTGGGAGAGCTAGCCTGACATTTACACTGTAGGTGGGAGAGCTAGCCTGACATTTAGGTGGGAGAGCTAGCCTGACATTTACACTGTAGGTGGGAGAGCTAGCCTGACATTTCTACTGTAGGTGGGAGAGCTAGCCTGACATTTAGGATGTAGGTGGGAGAGCTAGCCTGACATTTAGGCTGTAGGTGGGAGAGCTAGCCTGACATTTCTACTGTAGGTGGGAGAGCTAGCCTGACATTTCTACTGTAGGTGGGAGAGCTAGCCTGACATTTAGGATGTAGGTGGGAGAGCTAGCCTGACATTTAGGATGTAGGTGGGAGAGCTAGCCTGACATTTAGGATGTAGGTGGGAGAGCTAGCCTGACATTTACACTGTAGGTGGGAGAGCTAGCCTGACATTTAGGTGGGAGAGCTAGCCTGACATTTACACTGTAGGTGGGAGAGCTAGCCTGACATTTAGGATGTAGGTGGGAGAGCTAGCCTGACATTTCTACTGTAGGTGGGAGAGCTAGCCTGACATTTACACTGTAGGTGGGAGAGCTAGCCTGACATTTAGGATGTAGGTGGGAGAGCTAGCCTGACATTTACACTGTAGGTGGGAGAGCTAGCCTGACATTTAGGATGTAGGTGGGAGAGCTAGCCTGACATTTCTACTGTAGGTGGGAGAGCTAGCCTGACATTTACACTGTAGGTGGGAGAGCTAGCCTGACATTTACACTGTAGGTGGGAGAGCTAGCCTGACATTTAGGATGTAGGTGGGAGAGCTAGCCTGACATTTCTACTGTAGGTGGGAGAGCTAGCCTGACATTTAGGATGTAGGTGGGAGAGCTAGCCTGACATTTAGGATGTAGGTGGGAGAGCTAGCCTGACATTTAGGATGTAGGTGGGAGAGCTAGCCTGACATTTAGGATGTAGGTGGGAGAGCTAGCCTGACATTTAGGATGTAGGTGGGAGAGCTAGCCTGACATTTAGGATGTAGGTGGGAGAGCTAGCCTGACATTTAGGATGTAGGTGGGAGAGCTAGCCTGACATTTACACTGTAGGTGGGAGAGCTAGCCTGACATTTACACTGTAGGTGGGAGAGCTAGCCTGACATTTAGGATGTAGGTGGGAGAGCTAGCCTGACATTTCTACTGTAGGTGGGAGAGCTAGCCTGACATTTAGGATGTAGGTGGGAGAGCTAGCCTGACATTTACACTGTAGGTGGGAGAGCTAGCCTGACATTTACACTGTAGGTGGGAGAGCTAGCCTGACATTTAGGCTGTAGGTGGGAGAGCTAGCCTGACATTTAGGATGTAGGTGGGAGAGCTAGCCTGACATTTAGGATGTAGGTGGGAGAGCTAGCCTGACATTTACACTGTAGGTGGGAGAGCTAGCCTGACATTTAGGATGTAGGTGGGAGAGCTAGCCTGACATTTCTACTGTAGGTGGGAGAGCTAGCCTGACATTTAGGATGTAGGTGGGAGAGCTAGCCTGACATTTAGGATGTAGGTGGGAGAGCTAGCCTGACATTTAGGATGTAGGTGGGAGAGCTAGCCTGACATTTAGGATGTAGGTGGGAGAGCTAGCCTGACATTTAGGATGTAGGTGGGAGAGCTAGCCTGACATTTAGGATGTAGGTGGGAGAGCTAGCCTGACATTTACACTGTAGGTGGGAGAGCTAGCCTGACATTTACACTGTAGGTGGGAGAGCTAGCCTGACATTTAGGATGTAGGTGGGAGAGCTAGCCTGACATTTCTACTGTAGGTGGGAGAGCTAGCCTGACATTTAGGATGTAGGTGGGAGAGCTAGCCTGACATTTACACTGTAGGTGGGAGAGCTAGCCTGACATTTAGGCTGTAGGTGGGAGAGCTAGCCTGACATTTAGGATGTAGGTGGGAGAGCTAGCCTGACATTTAGGATGTAGGTGGGAGAGCTAGCCTGACATTTACACTGTAGGTGGGAGAGCTAGTCTGACATTTAGGATGTAGGTGGGAGAGCTAGCCTGACATTTCTACTGTAGGTGGGAGAGCTAGCCTGACATTTAGGATGTAGGTGGGAGAGCTAGCCTGACATTTAGGATGTAGGTGGGAGAGCTAGCCTGACATTTAGGATGTAGGTGGGAGAGCTAGCCTGACATTTACACTGTAGGTGGGAGAGCTAGCCTGACATTTACACTGTAGGTGGGAGAGCTAGCCTGACATTTAGGATGTAGGTGGGAGAGCTAGCCTGACATTTCTACTGTAGGTGGGAGAGCTAGCCTGACATTTAGGATGTAGGTGGGAGAGCTAGCCTGACATTTAGGATGTAGGTGGGAGAGCTAGCCTGACATTTCTACTGTAGGTGGGAGAGCTAGCCTGACATTTAGGATGTAGGTGGGAGAGCTAGCCTGACATTTCTACTGTAGGTGGGAGAGCTAGCCTGACATTTAGGATGTAGGTGGGAGAGCTAGCCTGACATTTCTACTGTAGGTGGGAGAGCTAGCCTGACATTTAGGATTTAGGTGGGAGAGCTAGCCTGACATTTACACTGTAGGTGGGAGAGCTAGCCTGACATTTAGGATGTAGGTGGGAGAGCTAGCCTGACATTTCTACTGTAGGTGGGAGAGCTAGCCTGACATTTAGGATGTAGGTGGGAGAGCTAGCCTGACATTTACACTGTAGGTGGGAGAGCTAGCCTGACATTTAGGCTGTAGGTGGGAGAGCTAGCCTGACATTTAGGATGTAGGTGGGAGAGCTAGCCTGACATTTCTACTGTAGGTGGGAGAGCTAGCCTGACATTTACACTGTAGGTGGGAGAGCTAGCCTGACATTTAGGATGTAGGTGGGAGAGCTAGCCTGACATTTCTACTGTAGGTGGGAGAGCTAGCCTGACATTTAGGATGTAGGTGGGAGAGCTAGCCTGACATTTAGGATGTAGGTGGGAGAGCTAGCCTGACATTTAGGATGTAGGTGGGAGAGCTAGCCTGACATTTCTACTGTAGGTGGGAGAGCTAGCCTGACATTTACACTGTAGGTGGGAGAGCTAGCCTGACATTTAGGATGTAGGTGGGAGAGCTAGCCTGACATTTAGGATGTAGGTGGGAGAGCTAGCCTGACATTTACACTGTAGGTGGGAGAGCTAGCCTGACATTTACACTGTAGGTGGGAGAGCTAGCCTGACATTTAGGCTGTAGGTGGGAGAGCTAGCCTGACATTTAGGATGTAGGTGGGAGAGCTAGCCTGACATTTAGGATGTAGGTGGGAGAGCTAGCCTGACATTTACACTGTAGGTGGGAGAGCTAGCCTGACATTTAGGATGTAGGTGGGAGAGCTAGCCTGACATTTCTACTGTAGGTGGGAGAGCTAGCCTGACATTTACACTGTAGGTGGGAGAGCTAGCCTGACATTTAGGATGTAGGTGGGAGAGCTAGCCTGACATTTAGGATGTAGGTGGGAGAGCTAGCCTGACATTTACACTAGGTGGGAGAGCTAGCCTGACATTTAGGATGTAGGTGGGAGAGCTAGCCTGACATTTACACTGTAGGTGGGAGAGCTAGCCTGACATTTACACTGTAGGTGGGAGAGCTAGTCTGACATTTACACTGTAGGTGGGAGAGCTAGCCTGACATTTCTACTGTAGGTGGGAGAGCTAGCCTGACATTTACACTGTAGGTGGGAGAGCTAGCCTGACATTTACACTGTAGGTGGGAGAGCTAGCCTGACATTTCTACTGTAGGTGGGAGAGCTAGCCTGACATTTCTACTGTAGGTGGGAGAGCTAGCCTGACATTTCTACTGTAGGTGGGAGAGCTAGCCTGACATTTACACTGTAGGTGGGAGAACTAGCCTGACATTTACACTGTAGGTGGGAGAGCTAGCCTGACATTTAGGATGTAGGTGGGAGAGCTAGCCTGACATTTACACTGTAGGTGGGAGAGCTAGCCTGACATTTACACTGTAGGTGGGAGAGCTAGCCTGACATTTACACTGTAGGTGGGAGAGCTAGCCTGACATTTACACTGTAGGTGGGAGAGCTAGCCTGACATTTCTACTGTAGGTGGGAGAGCTAGCCTGACATTTAGGATGTAGGTGGGAGAGCTAGCCTGACATTTCTACTGTAGGTGGGAGAGCTAGCCTGACATTTAGGATGTAGGTGGGAGAGCTAGCCTGACATTTCTACTGTAGGTGGGAGAGCTAGCCTGACATTTAGGATGTAGGTGGGAGAGCTAGCCTGACATTTAGGATGTAGGTGGGAGAGCTAGCCTGACATTTACACTGTAGGTGGGAGAGCTAGCCTGACATTTAGGATGTATGTGGGAGAGCTAGCCTGACATTTAGGGTGTAGGTGGGAGAGCTAGCCTGACATTTCTACTGTAGGTGGGAGAGCTAGCCTGACATTTAGGATGTAGGTGGGAGAGCTAGCCTGACATTTCTACTGTAGGTGGGAGAGCTAGCCTGACATTTCTACTGTAGGTGGGAGAGCTAGCCTGACATTTAGGATGTAGGTGGGAGAGCTAGCCTGACATTTCTACTGTAGGTGGGAGAGCTAGCCTGACATTTACACTGTAGGTGGGAGAGCTAGCCTGACATTTAGGTGGGAGGGCTAGCCTGACATTTAGGATGTAGGTGGGAGAGCTAGCCTGACATTTAGGTGGGAGAGCTAGCCTGACATTTAGGATGTAGGTGGGAGGGCTACCCTGGGAGCGCTACCCTGTGTGTTGTAGACTAGCTGCTGAGTCCACCCCACCCGCCATGTTTATTTGTGTTCTCTTTAACTTTTGGCTAGGCTTGAAGCAGCTCAGGTTCTTTTCATTGCTTGAGGCCATGTGACTGAGGTCAACCAATGGCAGCTCTGTCACATGACTGAGGTAAACCAATGGGCATGCAGCTCTGATGGTTCTAGTGTAGCTGCATGCTAGGTTTCTTTAGCTCATCTGTTGCATGCTGGGATCTCTGTCACAGGTGTCCAGTCTTGTCATGGGTTGCATGTACCAAACTTGCATCACTTGGATCAACCTAAAGGTCTAACCTGCTGATTGAATTCTATCCCTCTCTTCAAGCTTACAAAAACTGAGCTCATATTTTTATGGCAAAATTAAAAAAAATAATACTACAGAGCTACAATTAAAATACTATTCAAGAAATCTGTATAATATTGTGACAAAAAAACTTAAGAAATGTGCATTTCCAAATCTCCTTTACTTAGACCATTTGTAACGTCTTTTTATTTCAACTTTTTTTGCTTACTAAGAGTAAATCTGTCCAAAGCACCCACCCAAAAGTTCTACTGCATCAAGTCTTCTGGTTTTTTTAATTTTATTTTTTTATCAGACAATTTTTTGTTATTGTTGAGGTTATTTGGTCGATGGTTTTTTTTTTACATGAGAATTTGATTGCACCTTATGTGGTCTATTGAACATTTCACTAATAACAATGTCGCCCAACAACAGCTTGCCTACAAGGATTGAGTTGATGACACTTTACTAATAACAATGTCACTCAACAACAGTTTGCCTACAGAATTGAGTTGATGACATTTCACTAATAACAATGTCGCCCAACAACAGCTTGCCTACAAGAATTGAGTTGGTGACATTTCACTAATGATAACGTGATGCATCAGATCATGACCTACTTCTCCACACTCTCCACGGACTGTAGACTAACTGCATGTACAAGGCCAACACTTTGAGGCTTATTCTGTTTTGTTAACAAATCACCTACTAAATGACCTTTTCTCAACAACAAAATTTTTATTTCATAACCCAGACACTTTTGCTTACCTTATGAATTCTTCTACAAGTTTTTCTCTATCTGCACCTGTAGTTTGATATTTTCACTTGGTTTCTGAAAGTTGATTCAAATCACTTGTAATATATCTGGTGGGTCATGGACTTGTTTTTAGAGAAACTTACACATACTTACATGCATGCACATACACACTGTATATATATATACATAGTTTAGTGTCTAAACTAAAGACATAGGAGTAGAGTGATTTACCTTTACAATAACAGAAAATGCTACATTTAAAAATTTCAAAGTGTTCAAATATTGAATCTACCATGTTGTGCTACATTAAAAAATTTCAAAGTGTTCAAATTTTGAATCTACCATGTTGTAGACACAGAAAGTGCTACATTTAAAAATTTCAAAGTGTTAAAATTTGAATCTACCATGTTCTGGACACAGAAAATGCTCCATGCTAAAGTCTATAAATACTCAGCATTCCCTCAGCTAATCAATATATTCTATAACTCTTTGAATTGATAGTAATTGGTGTACAGGTAATTATTGAATAGTCAAGTATTGGTATGTCTTTAATTTTAATTATGTATACTATTGTATAGTTTTTAGTATGACATTTCTGTATACAATAGTATAGTTTGTTGTATGACATTTCTGTATAGTCATTTGTATACTTTTAACATATTGTGGGTTGTATGATATTTACAATGTAGTCAGTTGTATGATATATCCTGATAATCAGTGTATGACAATGACCTTATAGTCAGTATATGACAATGACCTTATAGTCAGTGTATGACAATGACCATATAGTCAGTGTATGACAATGACCATATAGTCAGTGTATGACAATGACCTTATAGTCAGTGTATGACAATGACCATATAGTCAGTGTATGACAATGACCATATAGTCAGTGTATGACAATGACCATATAGTCAGTGTATGACAATGACCATATAGTCAGTGTATGACAATGACCATATAGTCAATGTATGACAATGACCTTATAGTCAGTGTATGACAATGACCTTATAGTCAGTGTATGACAATGACCTTATAGTCAGTGTATGACAATGACCATATAGTCAGTGTATGACAATGACCATATAGTCAGTGTATGACAATGACCATATAGTCAGTGTATGACAATGACCATATAGTCAATGTATGACAATGACCTTATAGTCAGTGTATGACAATGACCTTAATGTCAGTGTATGACAATGACCTTAATGTCAGTGTATGACAATGACCATATAGTCAGTGTATGACAATGACCATATAGTCAGTGTATGACAATGACCTTAATGTCAGTGTATGACAATGACCATTATGTCAGTGTTACGTGATGCAAGTTTGACCCCCAGGTGACGTACAACCAGACGTTCACTAGCCAGGTGTACAGCGCACCCCTCCATGAGGACCCTGACGTAGTGTTCCATCCCCTGGCCAACAATGATACGGCCGTACGGTTTGAGTACTCGGACAAACCACGTTTTGTCAAGCTGGCCGGGACATTTGGTGTTATGGAGGACTTTAAGGTAGGACATTATGGGGGACTTTAAGGTGGGACATTATGGGGGATTTAAAGGTAGGACATTATGGAGGACTTTAAGGTAGGACATTATGGAGGACTTTAAGGTAGGACATTATGGAGGACTTTAAGGTAGGACATTGTGGGGGATCTTAAGGTAGGACATTATGGGGGACTTTAAGGTAGGACATTATGGGGGATTTTAAGGTAGGGCATTATGGGGGATTTTAAGGTAGGACATTATGGGGGATTTTAAGGTAGGGCATTATGGGGGATTTTAAGGTAGGACATTATGGGGGACTTAAAGGTAGGACATTATGGGGGACTTTAAGGTAGGGCATTATGGGGGACTTTAAGGTAGGGCATTATGGGGGACTTTAAGGTAGGACATTATGGGGGACTTTAAGGTAGGACATTATGGGGGACTTCAAGGTAGGGCATTATGGGGGACTTTAAGGTGGGACATTATGGGGGACTTTAAGGTAGGGCATTATGGGGGACTATAGGGGGGGGGACGTTATGGATGAATAGATTTCTACCAATAAGCTACCAGAAGAATTGGGTACCTTCAAGGCCTGTATTCTGGCATGCTCTAAACAAATGTGTATGTTACTTTACAGGCAGGTGTAGCCAGGACGGCGTACAATGGCGTGGTGACCTTCATGCACAAGGGGAAGAGGGTCTACCTTGCCCCACCCCCCAACTGGGGGGGATACAATGTTTCCTGGTACTGAAACTCTGATCCTCCAGGACCTGTTGGTCATTCATGTCAAGTTCTTGTAAGTCATGTCATTTACCTGTATGTCAATGATCACAGATAATGTATTGTCATCTCATGCTTCTGTGTGCTGCAACTTAAGTACAACTTCAAATGACATGTTAGGCTGACCTACTGGTCAAGTACAACTTCAAATGACATGTGTAGTTAGCTGACCAAGTGACTTGTGTTGGTCAAGCTCCACATGTAAAATAGCTGATTTATACAGGTCTACATGAAAATTCTATCAAACAATGAAAACAAACAGCTAATGTTCATGGAAAGGTGGTCATGACAACAATGAAAACAAACAGCTTATGTTCATGGAATGGTGGTCATGACAACAGCTTGTGAGTTGTTGGGTACGGTGGTGCTGGTTGTATTGTCAGATGTCATAGGTTTGTCATCTAAATGTCAGATGTCATAGGTTTGTGGTTAAAATGTCAGCTTTTTGCCTCAGATTTTTATTAAAAATGTCACTTTTATAGTATGTGATCAAAATGTCAGTTTTTTGCCATAGTTTGCGATCAAAATGTCAGTTTTTGGCCATATTTGTGTGATCAAAATGTCAGCTTTTTGCCATAGTTTGTGATCAAAATGTCAGTTTTTTTGCCATAGTTTGTGATCAAAATGTTAGCTTTTTGCCATATTTGTGGGATCAAAATGTCAGCTTTTTGCCATAGTTTGTGATCAAAATGTCAGTTTTTTGCCATAGTTTGTGATCAAAATGTCAGCTGTAAGCCAATCACCTGACATAGCAAGGTTGTGATATTTTAAGATTGACCAAATAATTAATGTTGATAAAAAACTATTTATTGCCAATGTTTGTGTTGATGATATGAATAGTTTATTGAATACTTTTTGATGACCTATTGAATAGTTTATTGAATACTATTTGATGACCTATTGAATAATTTATTGAATACTATTTGATGACCTATTTAAGAGTGGGTGTTACTGCTACTTTTTACATTTTTTTTTTTTTTAATGAAAGATTTATTTTTAGAATGTATTTTACTTGAATCATTCCCCTATTTACTTTTTTATTGAACTATTTAAAAAATGAAATCCTTTTCACTATACAATATGTAGTCATCTATTTTTCTTCCATTTAACCACACTAGCATAATGAACCAGTTTTATTTCTTATGAAATGTCCACTGTCCCATCTTTTATGAAATGTCCAGTCCCATCTTTTATGAAATGTCCACTGTCCTATAAAATGTCCACTGTCCTATAAAATGTCCACTGCCCTATAAAATGTCCACTGTCCTATAAAATGTCCGCTGCCCAAAAAATGTCCACTGTCCTATAAAATGTCCACTGTCCTATAAAATGTCCACTGTCCTATAAAATGTCTACTGCCCTATAAAATGTCCACTGTCCTCTAAAATGTCCCATCTGTTATTTATAACTTACACCCATCCATCCCATGTTTTTAAATGGATGTTTTTTTTTTTTTGTTTGATGTTCCTGAACAATTTGAATATATTTTTGATTTATTGGAATCCTTTAAAGGTTGGCCAACAATCCTTTCCTAAACAGAGTTCACTCGACCACTCTACTTCATCTGCCCTATGTTGGGTTTAGACATGTTATTTATTTTATTTGGGGCCGACAAAAATGGTTTCAATTGTCACTTTTTTTAAATTCAAATTTTTGGGGCAAACAAAATGGTTTTGTAAAACGTTTTGACTGTTGTACCATTGCCATGAAGAATTATGTTTTTGTCCATCTCCTGTATTTCATAGTTACACCTGAGGAGTTTTTTGTTACAAATCTTTTTAAAAAAACTGGTTATTTAAAGTTGACGGGATATTTCTTCTTATAGTCAGGGGAACTAACTTGAATGTAGATAAAATGTATGGGCATGTCTTGTTGATTTTAGGAAAACATAGATGCTTTAGACCTACCTGATCTTAGAAAACCAGATTGTTTAGACCTACCTGATCTTAGAAAACCAGATTGTTTAGACCTACCTGATCTTAGAAAAACAGATGTCATTTGTTGTGGTCATTAGGTAAGACACAGCATGTCACTCTGGTCAGCTGTTTCTGTTATTGTCAAAACTTGCCTTTGACTTCTGTGATAAACGTTTTTTTTTAGTTACTGCTGGGGTCTTGCTCAATTTTCAATCACTGATGTTTGGTTTCAGTTATTGCTGTTCTGTTTCTTTCTCTCGTGCTGATTTTTTTGTGTTTCCTGACCTCTAGGACAGCCTCAGTATTTTCTGTCTCACTAGCTGGTCCAGCAGGAAACATCACTGTACACCACAACATCATGATGTTGCACCACAGCGTCATGATGTTGTACCACAGTGTCATGTAACACAACATCATGATGTTGTACCACAGCTTCATGTATAACAACATCATCATGTAACACAACTTCATGTAACACAACATCATGATGTACCAGAACGTCATGTGTAACACAACATCATGATGTTGTACCATAGCATCATGTAACACAACATCATGATGTTGTCCCACAGTGTCATGTATTACTACATCATGATCTTGTACAACAACAACATCATCAAAATGTTGTACCACAGTTCTTCTCCAACATTCCTCTGTTGTAGTGCAACATTCCCATTGTTGTAAATAATCTGAGCTGCCTTAGTCATTTCAGGCAGAATATATTTGACATTTTTTCCTAAGGTAACCTATGCATTTTATGTTGATGCAATAAATAAATGTAAGGTAGAAAAAAAAATGTTTTGTAATTCAGCAAATTCATATTGTTTTTAGTTTGAACTCTGCCTATGTTCATGATAAAACCACATGTAATGTAGAATAAAATCAATCAAATTCATGTTGTTTTTAGTTTGAACTCTCCATATTTTCTTGCAGTCTTGTTTTACTTGAATGCACAAATTGTTGATTACTAATTAAAACCAATTGATTGAATGCGACATAATATTTATGTGTACATACTGTAGGTTTTTCCAAAAATTTTGTTGCAAACTTTTTTTGTCTTTGTTTGTGTGTGTGCTTTCTTTTGATTTGAAATTTAATTGGAAATCATTGCAATTAAAAGCCATTATTGACCGGATTTTGTTATTTGTTAGGTTTCTTTAGTTCACTATGTTTGTTTGTTTGTGGCAAATCTTGTATCTTTTAAGCCACCTTCAATGCAGCAATTTTGTTTAAACTTAAACTTTCCAGAAACATGTTTCAGATAATAATGCAATAATAATTATAATATCTCATTTTAACACAATTAAACATTCGATTTGTCATTAAAATTCATTTAAAGATTACTAAATAAAATAAAGCAGGAGTAGTCTCCTATAAACTTACTCGTATATTCTTAAAAATTTTAGAGCACAATTACTGTTATTTAATACATTTATTAAATAGAAAAAACAAAAATGCATGCAGTGATAGCAAACAAATTGTTTATAATACAGCGGAGAAGTAGTACTTCATGAAGGAAACATTGATTCATTTTTGAAAGTTAATCAAACATCTAAGTTATTTATGTCACAGTGCATTGTCATCAAGTCTTCACATAAGAGAAACCTTTGAAAGAAATCCGTCAGGTAGAAGATTTTTGAGAAATTGGAAGTAAAGTACTAGATCTACTTCCGCCCACCAGAAATTGGAAGTCAAGTACTAGAAGTACTAGATCTACTTCCGCCCACCAGAAATTGGAAGTAAAGTACTAGATCTACTTCCGCCCACCAGAAATTGGAAGTAAAGTACTAGATCTACTTCCGCCCACCAGAAACTGGAAGTAAAGTACTAGATCTACTTCCGCCCACCAGAAACTGGAAGTAAAGTACTAGATCTACTTCCGCCCACCAGAAATTGGA